TTACGTTTAATTTTGATATTTATAGGTGACAACCAATGAAAACATCAAATCTGGTATCTCAGAAAATTAGAATATTCTAAAGGCCAATGAAAAAATGTTTGTTTCTCTAATGTTGGCCAACTGAAAAGAATGAACATGAAAAGAATGTGCATGTATAGCACTCAATACTTAGTCGGGGCTCCTTTTGCCTCAATAACTGCAGTAATGCGGCGTGGCATGGACTCGATCAGTCTGTGGCACTGCTCAGGTGTTATGAGAGCCCAGGTTGCTCTGATAGTCGTCTTCAGCTCCTCTGCATTGTTGGGTCTAGCGTATTGCATCCTCCGCTTCACAATACCCCATAGATTTTCTATGGGGTTAAGGTCAGGCGAGTTTGCTGGCCAATCAAGGACAGGGATACCATGGTCCTTGAACCAGGTGCTGGTGGTTTTGGCACTGTGTGCAGGTGCCAAGTCCTGTTGAAAGGTGAAGTCTGCATCCCCATAAAGTTGGTCAGCAGCAGGAAGCATGAAGTGCTCTAAAACTTCCTGGTAGACGGCTGCATTGACCCTGGACCTCAGGAAACAGAGTGGGCCAACACCGGCAGATGACATGGCACCCCACACCATCACTGACGGTGGAAACTTTACACTGGACCTCATGCAACGTGGATTCTGTGCTTCTCCGCTCTTCCTCCAGACTCTGGGTCCTTGATTTCCAAAGGAAATGCAGAACTTGCTTTCATCAGAAAACATAACTTTGGACCACTCAGCATCAGTCCAGTCCTTTTTGTCCTTGGCCCAGGCGAGACGCTTCTTGCGCTGTTTCATGTTCAAGAGTGGCTTGACACACGGAATGCGACACCTGAATCCCATGTCTTTCATGAGTCTCCTCGTGGTGGTTCTTGAAGCGCTGACTCCAGCTGCAGTCCACTCTTTGTGGATCTCCCCCACATTTTTGAATGGGTTTGTCGTCACAATTCTCTGCAGGGTGCGGTTATCCCTAGAGCTTGTACACTTTTTTCTACCACATTTTTTCCGTCCCTTTGCCTGTCTGTTAATGTGCTTGGACACAGAGCTCTGCGAACAGCCAGCTTCTTTAGCAATCACCTTTTGTGTCTTGCCCTCCTTGTGCAAGGTGTCAATGATTGTCTTTTGGACAGCTGTTAAGTCAGAAGTCTTCCCCATGATTGTGGTGCCTTCAAAACAAGACTGAGGGACCTTTTAAAGGCCTTTGCAGGTGTTTTGAGTAAATCAGCTGATTAGAGTGGCAGCAGGTGTCTTCTATATTCAGCCTTTTCAGAATATTCTAATTTTTTGAGATACCAAATTTGGAGTTTTCATTAGTTGTCACTTATGAATATCAAATTTAAATGTAATGAACATTGGAAATACATTGGTCTGTGTGCATTGCATGAATATAATGTACAAGTTTCACGTTTTGAATGGAATTACTGAAATATTTTCAACCTTTTGATGATATTCTAATTTACTGGCCAGCACCTGTAAACTGCTTACACCCGCCATGTCATTTTCTTCCTTTGAACTGTGTCTATTTGAACTGTGCATCTCCCCCCGCCTGCTCTCCGTGCTGATTGATCGCCCTCCAAAGACTTACTCTAACTTCCTAAATGATTTATATGATCTTGTGGCAGACTGCATCCTAAAATATGACTATGTCCTATTTTTGGTGATTTTAACATCTGCTGTCCTGACAATGTGCTTGCTAAAGGTTTTTTGAATTTGCTAGATTCATTCAATTTAACTCAATGGTTATCGTCCCCAACTCATGCCAGGGGTCACACCCTGGACCTGGTTGCTTATCTGGATGCAGTGAGGGTTGCTAGAACTGCCTATTTTGCAGACATCATCAAAACAAACTCTTAAGAATCCCAAGATTCTCTACAAAACACTGAACTCTGTTCTGGTGTATCAGGAGCCCAGCTTCCTGTCCACTACAGTTGCTGGAAACTCTGAAGATTTTCACAAATTCTTTGTTCATAAAGTATCAGGCATTAGAGCAGCTATTTCTGGTAACTCTATTGACCCTGTTCCAGTTCCTCCATCACCACCCACCCTGAGCTCCCTCAATACCGTTTCTTATTCTGAGCTGAGGAAGCTTGTTGCAAGGCAGAAGCCATCTGGCTCTCCACTTGAGGTCCTGCCGCCTCGTCTCTGGAAGGCTGCCTTTCCGTGTCTTGGCCCATCACTTGGTCAGATTACCAATGGGAGCCTCAGCACAGGTGTGGTCCCAGCTGCTTTCAAAGCAGCAGTTGTTCGGCCGACCCTGAAGAAACCTGGTGCTGATGTCTCTGTGATCGAAAATTACAGGCCTATCTCTACCCTGCCTTTTACATTGAAACTGCTTGAGAAAGTCATTTATCAGCAGCTGGTTTCACATTTAGCTGACTCTGATCTGTTTGAGATTTCCCAATCAGGGTTCAGGTCTGGCCATAGTACTGAGTCGGCTCTACTGAGGGTCTTAAATGATATCTATCTATCACTAGATCAGGGTACATCTGTGGTGGTTCTGTTGTTAGATCTGACGGCAGCGTTTGACACAGTTGACCAGGCGATTCTACTTGGTCGCTTGGAACGATGGGTTGGGATCCAAGGGTCTGTTCTGGAGTGGTTTAGATCATATCTCCACAACAGAACATTCTGTGTTAACACTAGAACTCCCAGCATTTTCTGATTCCCCCAGCTCTACCAGAGCTTTGTCAAATAACTGCTTGGTTTGATAACAATGACTAAATCACTGATCGTTAGCTGCCTTTCATTTGTAAATGCAGCCAGCCACAGATGAGGTCCAATGGAATGTGCTTGGGTGTTGGGGGTTGTCAGTCTTTCAGGCTGGCCCAGTGGCTCTACTTGTCTCTCTCCTGTCTTGAATCTGGTTAACTGAACTTGTCCATCCAAAGACTTCACAGAAGCACACAAATGACAAGAAAGGATTTTTATGTAGCGTTTAATAAAAACAAAGCATGAGTCGCTTCAAAAAGACTACATTTACTGCAGCTGGCAGAGGCAGAGATTTTTTCTATTGATACACGGAATTTACAGAATCATTTTAAATGTTAATAGGGGAAGACTGCAGGAGGGAGCAGTAAAATACAGGGGTCCCCACCAAAAACAAGAAACTTTACGAGTCTGATGAAACCCGCTGGTTTTCCATCAGGCAGTCACGGGGCAGCTCCAACGACCCAGTGGCTGTGCTGGGTCAATGTTATCGAGCTCAGTCCGGCTCGGCCGTGAACAGGCCGAGGCGGCGTCGTGCTCTGCTTAAGAAGAGGTGTTATTTTCCCTCTTTAGAAGAAGCGTCCAACGTGTTTTTACGCTTTCTCCAAGACATGTCACGTCGCTAAGTTGTTAGCGCCGCGCGCTAACACGTCAATAGAGCAGCGTAGCTGCTGGAGGTTTTAAGGGTTCAGATGAAAACACCCGACCTCTCACTCTGCTCACAAATCGATCTTCAGTTGTCGCCGTTGCGCTCACGCCGTAATACAGTATTAGATGCGGTTAAAGTCAGACATGAAAAAATAAATAAATTTTACACGAATAAGTGATGCTTAGCCTGGTGGGGGGAGGAGAACCTGGCCTAATAAGCACTGGAGGAAACCCTGTCAAGATCGTCAACACTTGTTTATCTTAATGCTATTGAAACATGTAAACCACAAAGCATTATATCCACTGCTACCTTTCTAATTTTAAACTTTGTAACTTATGCTGTAACTTCACCTTGCCCTGCCTGCTCCTCCTTGCTGCCCGCCAGCTGTGATCACAAGCGACAACATAGTAGTTCCCGCTGCTTCTTTGGGAAACAGCGCAAAATAAATAAATAAATAAAACTTGGGATCTTGTAGGCGTGGCGGTGGGATTTCAGCCGTGGCGGCCCGCCACGGCTACGCCTATGTAAGGGAAACCCTGTGCTTTTATTTTCAATTTATTCATCATGTTTCACATTTCTCATGTACCATGTTCAGCGCCTTGGGCTTCCTGACAGGCGCTTTATAAATAAAGCTTTGATTGATTGATGTGGCATTACAAAATAAAGTGCAATCAAAAGTCATTAATGACTATTTTTACTAATTCCATGGTAATTTCTCAAAAACTGTTTCATTCTGCAACATCATTCCACATCTGCCTTAAAGTACACATAGACGACTACATCCTCACAAAATTTCTGATGTATCATCAGGTCTTAATAAAAATTTGCAGAGAATGTAGTCCTCGATGTGTACTCTAAGACTGATAAACAACACAACACTAGGAATGATGTTGTGGAATCAGACAGTTTTTGAGGAATTAACCATTGAATATAGTGAAAATTGTCTCTAAAGTCATATTTGATTGCACTTTATTTTGAAATGCCACATCAGATCCATATGAAAGTTGGGGAGGATTCAGCAGTCGGTGTGTACTTTAAGACTGATGTGGAATGATGTTGTGAAATCAGACAGTTTTTGAGAAAGAAACCATTGAATTTAGTGATAATTGTCAATAATTTTCACTTTCTTTTGAAATCCCACATCAGATCAGGATGAAAGGGAGGGGAGGGATAAGAATTGCAAAGTAGACAAATGTGTTTATTCTTTTAATTTAAAGTATTTTTAAATGGATAAAATCATAAAAAAACACGGTTTTATCTTGCACACAATTTTACACAAACACGTTTATATCGTGTTCATTATTTTGATTAAAAGTATTTTTAAATAGATAAAATCATAAAACGCAGTTTTATCGTAGACACAATTTTACACAAACTTTGAAATGTGTTTTGAGCGCTTTTATTTTGAAAGGCACTCTATAACGAGGACACCGTAATTTCTCTTGTAGTTGCGCCCGTAAAAATCGAAAGACGGCTGGCTAAAAGGCAGTCAGAAAACTGAGGTCCGCTTGCTGGAGATGATCTACACAAGAAAGCAGCTTTCTACACACCTTAAATAATAATAACAGGACAGGGCCCCGGGCTAAATTATTGTCCCAGTCCGTCTCTGCACGAGTCCCGCTGGTGTTTCATACCTGCTCCGTGTGAGCGGCTCTGTGGTTCCCAGCTCACATCCGACAGTCTGCGCTGATCACCGAGCCCTTCCTCGAACTGGGCCAAGGCTTCTTCAACCTTCGTGATGAGTTTTCTAGCAGTAGCTACTTGCTTGTTGACAAAGTCCATCAGAGACTCTCCTGAATACATGTTTAAGCCGGAGACTCAATATTCACCTCATACAACACGCTAAGTTTGCCAACAGTCCTTTACTTCTTCTTCGTCTTGGTTTTGGTTGGCGCTTGGAGAACGATGAACGTGTTACCGCCACCTGCTGGTCAGGATAAGAACGACACCAAGTGAGAACGAAGTACAAATCCAAAATATAAACTTTCTTTCATTGTAAAAACCAGGGTTCAAAATTAACCTTTATGATCATCACCTTGGATTTCCACTAGCCATTTTTTCTGCAGTCAAAAAAGAGATTATGAATGCCACTGAATGAAGATTTTGTCATTTTATTAACACTGTTGTTGTGAAAAACGCACACATACTGCAATACACACAAGAACATATAGAAAGTGCAACATTGATTTATTTTTTTCCCACTGTATCTCTTCCCTCTGAATCAAACATCCTCATCCTCAGAGCTCTCTGAACTTGTTTCTTTTTCTGAATCTGAGTAAGCATCACTTTTTTTTGTTGCATTTTTGTGCACAAATTCAGGCCAGGAACATTGAATAAATAGGCAATAAGGAAGTAATAAAGCAGCAAGAAGATGGATAAAACAGTAAAATATGCAAAAATCACTGAGTAAGTGAATAAAGTGACTAAAGTGTCGTCTGTATAAAAGTTAAATATATGGAGAGCCCAAGGAGAGGGTTTATCAGGGGATGGTCTTATCTGCTGGAGTTAAAGAGCAGAATGGCTTTGGGGACAAAGGTGGCTCCTCCTCTCAGTCTTGCAGGAACTGCAGCGTAGGCGTCGCCCAGAGGGGAGCCATTGAAATGCGGGGTGAAGAATGTGAGAGGGGTTGTAGAGGATTTTGGCTGCCTGTCTCAGGGCTTGTTGATAGAAAACCTGAGCAAAAGTTCTAACAGGCAGGCCCACGATTTTGGAACACACTGATGTAGTGTGCTGGAGTCTGTTCCTGTTCTGGAGGCTAAGAGAGTAGAACCAGCAAGTGATGGAGAAGGTCATGATGCTTTCCAGGAAGGCACAGTAAAAAGTCATCATGACTGAGGAGCTGACTCCAAAGGAGTTGAGCTTCCTAAGGAGATATAACCGTTGGTGGCACTTCCTGAGAATCTCCTCTGTGTTAGCAGAGAATTTCAGGAGGTTGTCAATCAATCAATCAATCAAAGTTTTATTTATAAAGCGCCTTCTGCAACCCTGTCAGGAAGCCCAAAGCGCTGAACATGGTACAGTTATAGGTAAACATATTGAATAAATCAACAATAAAAGCAATTCAAATTACAAAATACAAATTATAAAATACAAATTACAAGATAGATGAAACATTCTGGTACAGGACAAATGTGTGAAACACATTTGGATTGAGTGGATGGTTTGAGTGAACCAATGAAAACTGTGAAATAAGTTCAACATAAAAGAGGGCCAAAAATCAAACATGTTCTGGAAACGCCAAGCGGAGGAGGTGGGTTTTTAGGCGACTCTTAAAGACTGGCAGAGATGGGGACAGCCTAACTGAGGGTGGCAACTGGTTCCAGAGTAACGGTGCTAGGACTGAGAAAGCCCGGTCCCCATGGGTACGACACCTAGAACGAGGGACAGCGAGCAGGCCTTGGTCAGAGGAGCGCAGAGAGCGTGATGGGGAATGTTTGTTCAGGAGAGTGGCCAAATACCGGGGAGCACCACCCTGGAAGAAATGATAAAGGCGAGGATTTTGAATTGTGAGCGATAGCAAATCGGAAGCCAGTGCAGGGAGGCCAGAACCGGACTGATGTGGTCCCGTTTCCTGGTCCCAGTCAGGAACCTGGCGGCACTGTTCTGCACAACCTGTAGGCGACGCAGGGATGACTCACACAACCCTGCATAGAGAGAGTTGCAGTAGTCAAGCCTAGAAATTACAAAGGCATGCAGTACCCGCTCCAGGTGGGCTATCGACAGCATATGCTTGATTTTTGCAAGGCATCTAAAGTGAAAGAAACTGGACCGGATCACCGAATTGATGTGAGCATCAAATTTAAGTCCTGCATCAAGTTTCACCCCCAAACTGGTAACAACTGGTTTTGAGTATGGAGAAAGAGGGCCAAGATCAACATAACGATCCACATTCCTGCTGTTGGGGTGAAAAACAATGAGCTCTGTCTTTCCCTCATTCAGATGTAGATAGTTGGCCATTAGCCAAGACTTCACCTCATTAACACAGGAGACAAAGGACTGAATAGAGTGACCTTTCTCCTGACACAATGGAGAGTAAATCTGGCAATCGTCAGCATAGAGATGGAATGATAGGCCATGTTTACGAAAGATTGACCCAGAGGTAGCAGATAAATGGCAAACAAAAGAGGACCAAGGATCGACCCCTGCGGGACCCCCCAGCGGAGCCCCTCCCAAGAAGAAAAAACATCACCCAGTTTAACACAGAATGTCCTGTTGTGGAGATACGATCTAAACCAGGGGTGTCAAACTCATTTTAGCTCAGGGGCCACATTGAGGGACATCTAGTCCCAAGTGGGCCGGACTGGTAAATTAAAAGCAACTTCAGATTGTTTCCTTTGTTTTAATACAATCAATATAAAACAAAGCTGGAGCCTGAGGACAGTGTATCCAAAATAGTAAAACACCTGAAGTGTACTTGAAAATTTGAAAATAATAAAAAATCAATCAATAAAAAAACATTCCTTAGTGATTCAAAGAGCTTACAGATCACATGGCTAGATCAGTTTCATGCAGCACTTAAAGTATATTTGACTCATTTTACTTTACATCTTTTAGCTTTCACCAGCACATCACTATCAGAAGTTAAGGACATGGCAACGTAACATCACAAAGTATTAGAGAGTGGTCAAAGGTGGTTCCCAGATACTTGTACTCCTCCACTACCTCCTCTGGGTTCCCATGGATAAAGGTGGTGACTGAAGCAGCCGGATCCCTCGGCCTCCTGCAGAAGGTCACCACCAGTTTGGAGCTGTCACACCACTCTACAAACTCCTGAAGAGCAGGTCTGTGGTGTTGTGAGGAGCCTGACAACAGTGATAGGAGGACTGTATCATCAGCGTATTTCACCAGGTGACAGTTGGGATGTGTGGATCTGCAGTCGTCGGTGGAGAGGATGTAGAGCGGGGGGAGAGCACACAGCCCTGGGGGGAGCCGGTGGAGGTGGAACGGAGACCGGAGAGACAGTTGTTGACCCAAACTTTCTGAGTGCTGTTGGTTAAAAAGTCCAGTATCCACAGGGTTAACTGGTCATCTAAATGAAATTGGGAGGAAAGTTTAGTAGCCAGGATGTGAGGCTGCAGAGTGTTGAATGCTGATGAAAAGTCAACAAACAGAAGTCTGGCGGAGGAGTCAGGGAGCTCCAGATGTTTGTGGATGGTGTCCAGGATGAAGATTTTTGCATCATCGGCGCCTCTGCGTGCATGATAAGCAAACTGGAGTGGATCCATCAGGGGCTCAGTTGCTCTTACAATGTGCTCTTTTATGATCTTCTCCATGGCCTTCATCACCAAGGAGGTTAGAGCTACAGGACGAAGATCGTTAGGAGACTTTGGGCGTGAACGCCAGTCACTCTTTACCTGCTTCATAACACTGAACCCTCTTTCACCGTCAGCTGTACTTGCAGGGATGGTGAGGAGAGCATCAAAGAGGTAAAGGACGTCAGGACACCGATGGCGCAGCATTCTGTTCACAGTAGGCCAGGTTTTCTCAAAAGTTCCTGCAGAAGGGTCAGGCAAAATTACAGTCTAGCAAGCAATAGTTTAAAATGCTGCTTTATATATTATTTTAAAGACATAATTAGATTTGTAATGCGCTTTTAACAAATTAAAATCTTACACTATTAGAAATTTAGCTTTTCAAGGACTTGTTAAAAACTTTGCCATTTAGGAACATCAATGTTAATTTTTTTCTCTAACATCATTCTCTAAATACCTTGGCTAAATCCTGCTGTGTACAGTTCAGCCTTAAGAATTGTCCATTGATCAGGGATCAAGTCCACATCCACTCCAGCAGACAGCAGAAGAGGTCGGAAGTGACTTGTGAGCTTGTTTATCTCCTCATCACCAAAATCTGAGCACAAGGGAAAACATTACTACAAAGTTCAGAAGTTGTCGTAAATCATAAAATGCATTGGCAAGATGTGTCCACCACTAACCGAAACTCGTGTCTGCCTCTGGCCAGCACTGGAAACTGGTCAGTCGCATAGCATGCAGGACACCACTGTTCACATCACTAAATCTCGCAGTGATGCATTGACACAGAGAACCGATCAACTCGTTCTTTGCCTTGTTGTGCTGGCCAGCATCAGAAGGCTTCAGAAGGACTCCCTCATATGTGTCTGTGTCCAGCACTGATCTCAGCTTAGGCCCAGGTCTACAGTTGTGCAGATGGATTGATGGGTGTCATTTCATCCATCCACATATCTACAGTATTTATTTGAAAGCAACAAAACCTAAAATCAAAGAATACAATGTAGGTTACATACCTTGACTTGTACTTTTGAATGGCAGCTTGAGTAGAAGACAGGCAACTCTGAGCTTCAGCCAGGGTTGGCACGGACCTCTGCAGTGACTTGGAGAGGCTGCTCAGTTGATAGATGGTGTCATGGAGAAGGTAGCAAAACCTGAGCACCCCACCATCCTTGGCTATGTTGAGGAACCCCTTGGCCTTTGCCCTCAGAACTGCATTGGTGTTCGTGGTATTTTGGGACTACAGACAAACAAACTAAATTATATCACAGCCACAGACCGCATTAAAACTGTTGATAATGAGTATCAGATTTAGAGAACATTGTATCTATCTACACTAGTTTTAGTAGGCTGTAAATTAACATACCTTCTCCTCTAAGTGGTGGACAAAGCCAACATATCCCCTGAGAAAATGATCAAGTGCATTGAAGAAATGTGGGAGCCACCGGGTTCCACCTATTCTGGTTGGCATCAAAGGCTTCAGGTGGAGCTCCCTGAAGTGATCCTTTAGGCTGGCCCTGTTTACGCCACTCTTATCATATAAGGTGTAGAGTCCACTCAACAGGTCCTCAACTTTCCTGACCATCACATTCTTCCTTATTCCATCCGAAAAGGAGAGTTCAAGCTTATGGGCCATGCAGTGGATTCCAAGCACGTAACATCTGTCTCCACGCAGTTTTGTAACAACACCATTGTTTACTCCTGTCATTACAGATGCTCCATCAGTAGTGATGGCAACCAGCTTCTTCTTCCAATCAGTGCTGACTTCACTGTCCAACATACCGCACACAGCTTCAGCTATATTTGCAGCATCTGGCTTTGAGACTGATTTAACCCCAACAAAGTCAACTTGAACTTTTCCTTCACTGGCACTCCTGACATAAACAATTTCTTCTTCCATCACTGCACTGTCCAGGGATCCATCTGACATGACTGACATGAACTTGCCATCTAATAGTTTTGTCTTCATTTTTCTCCTCTCATCCTCTGCTATGTAGTGTATGAATTATTTTGCTTGGTGGTCATTTGTATATGTCTCTCCTATCTTCAAGCCTTTCTTTCTGTCCACCCTAAATTAATCATGTGAATGAAGCCAAAGTTAGTGCAGAGTTCAGTTACTGAGTTCTTTTATTTTTTCTTTTTGAAATCAAGCATAACATTTCATCTGTGTCAGTAAAGGCGTGTACATCATCACTCTGTATCAGTTTAAATGCACTGATTCTGAAACATGTAAATGGAATGATTGATTTACTTACTCACACATCCATGCGAAGTCGGTGAAAGGCCTTCCCTTTTTTGCGATGGCATGAGCATTTCTAAAAAGAAGCTGCATCTTTTCCAACTCCAAACTTCTGAGTGAAGAGAGGCTTTTCCCAGCAACACTCTCTTCAACTGGAACTGCCTTAGCAATCTTCATTTGGAGGCTTTCCTGGTGACTTCGAGCTTTCTCGTGGTCCTTTACAGCCTCGATTTTAAAATTATTAGTCCCCACCACCAAGGGCGTCAGTTTGTTTTCAGAATTGCTGGGGACAATAACCATACACTTGAGTGGGGTTTAAAAATTGCTGGGGACAATAAAGGCAGGCTTTTTTGAAAGTGGGGGGGACAAAGCTGCCAATCACAAATTTTGCCGGGGACATGTCCCCGGTGCCCCCAGTTAAAATGATGCCTATGCCCACCACAAAACTGTTAGTTTTGTTTTATTTTTCGTGTACACTCGGCAAATTTTACAAAACATTACTGCATTTTCATTGTCAAACACAAGCCATTCACGGCCTGTCTGCCATTTACTGTTGAAGTTTCTTCTCTTCGCTTTGCACGCTCTGTCAACACTCTCATCTTCTGCTTCCTTCCTCTTCTCATCTCCTCCAGACGTCTGTCCTAACCACCGCAGCATTTTATCCAACTTCGCCGTCCAGCTCTGATTTTTCTTTGTCTTCGCTCTTCATCACGTATTTTTTTGCTTGTGTTTTCAGGCGTTTCTGGTGTCGCGCTCTCATTGTTGATTGGACCAAATTGCACAGCAGACAGAAGCGTGCCTGTGCGTTGCAGCCAATAGGCATCTAAAACGTCACAAACCCTAACCCTGGTTGTAACATATCATCAGAAGTTTCTGTTCATAGGAAACCAAAAATGGCTATAAGCTGACAAACCATTCAAATTAAAGCTGCAATAGCAAATCTGCAAGGAAATCTAGCTTTTAAACACAAACACGGTCACAGAACACTTAACCCATCATCAGGGCCAGATTAACACTTTGTTGCAGGCACGTGCAGAGGGGGGTGCGGAGGGTGCTTGAGACCCTGCCCCTTTTGTCCGAAGTGCCCAAAGTGCCCTTTTTCCGGTCGTTCGTCAGATTTTACCGTACAAACTGTTATACTGTGATACAAATCGGGCACTAGGACCATGCGGAGGCAGCCGCCTCAAGCTGAAGGCTATTTTCCCTTAGACCTGCCTACAAGCTCACTGATTGGCTCTGCCGCGTCATACTAACGTGTGATTGGTTGTCCTTGCTGTCGCTCCACCTTGTAGCCATGGAGACGACAGACCGGTGTTTTCCCTGCGGACAGGAGTCTGCGTTCATCTACCTGTAAGTTTTTTTTCTGCCTGCTTCACGTCAGCTGGATAGATTTTAATATCAGAGCTTTTGTTTACGTGAGTTTGAGTCCGTGGCTAGTGTGTGTGGAGCAGAGTCAGGTAGCTGCATGTCTGGGACAGAAAATGAGACATGAGAGAGACTTCTCCTGAAGAGTTGCAGAAACTCAAAGAATCAATGTCTCACTCTAGATTCTCCGGGTCATAACTTCTGAATTACTAATCGAATAAAAATACTTCAAACGGGTTCTAAAAGTACATAAAACGAGCTTTCCAATGAGGTATTACATGATGTAATTCATGTTACTCCAAAAATCGCTATTAGAAGGAAACCAGCTTTGCAGCGTCACAGACGGGGCGAACCGCGATGGGAGAGCGAGAACCGAAAGGAGGAGATGATCTGATCATCTTCATCAGCAACTTTTATAAAGTTATGGAAACGTCACAAATAAAATCCACCTGGTTGGTCAGGTGTCCCAGAAGGCTGTTTCTGTAGATGGTGACATGAGGAGGGACAGATTAAAGCCACACTGGTTTTTATTTGAACACTCAACTGTTTACTAAATGATTCAGCTTCATTCCAGCATTATTTATACGTACAATAAATATTTATTTAGCTGAAAATATCATTTTATCAGTGCAGAATTTTATTAGTTGACTTTTTGTAATGAAATGTTTACATTTAACCTTTTATCTGCTTATTGATCTTGATAATGCTGGTAGAAATGTAGCTACAGCTGTGAAGTAGCCCATGAGTGTTATTTTATGATACCTAGTATTTATTTTACTGTATCCCGTTCTCTGGACCAGAGCGTAGACCTGTGGTCACAGACAGGCTGCAGTCATTAAACTGGTTAACATGAGGTCAGGGGTCACACTGTTTTCTGAGTGTTTGCAACACAGTTCTGAATTTAAATAGTTCTTTTGACATAGTTTGCTCAAGTCATTTTGAAGTTTCTGTTTAGTAATAAATGTAAAGAAAATTCAAATCAGTTTTTTTCATTTAAGCTGCAGTTTTACAGACTTTAATAAACATAAACACTAAATACAAACCAGACACTGAAAGCTGAGGTTGTTCTGAAAAAAGGAGCAGAGTTACAAACATTTTACACTTTTATTACAATTTTAAAGCCATAAAACAAAAAAAAAAACTTGTTATATTTATGGTCATAAGAGGGTTAAACGTGATAAATTTTCCGCCTCCCACAAAGAGATGGTAAAAGTGAATGTGAGCATAATTATATACGTTTTATTACTTTATTATGTATTTTTTATTATTGACTATTACTCCAAAGAGTTCAGATGAAGGCAACTGGACTTCTTTGGTTTCTTTAAAACATTTCACTTCTCGTCTGAGGAGCTTTGTCAGTTCTAACTGGAATATGGGAGAGTCAAGCTCATAAGCTGTAGCTGTCTGTTATTTAAAGAGCAGAAACTACCCCGCCTCTCCATCTCCTGATGAGTCGTTAGCCTCTATTGATGGTGAGTCATCGTGTTGATTAGATGCTGGAAGGTGTGACCTAGACTGAAACTGAATGAGATTCAAAAAAAAGTTCTAATCTTTTAAACAACGCTGTTGGTCCTCTTGGTCCTTGTTCTGGTTTTCTAAAACCCTGTGTTAACAACCTTGGTGTGTTTTTAGACTGTTCTTTTAATCTTTACAGACAGGTGAGTGCAGTGGTCCAATCAGGTTTTTATCATTTAAGGCAGATAGCAAAGGTGAAGCCATACCTTCCTGCTAATGTCCTCGAACATGTCATCCACCTGTTCGTGTCTTGCCGATTGGACTACTGCAACTCCCTGTATTCTGGCCTGGACCATTCCTCCCCACACCGACTTCAGCTGGTCCAAAATGCAGCGGCTCGCTTGCTGACTGGAACCAGCAAGTGGGATCGCATAACCCCGGTTCTGGCCTCTCTCCATTGGCTTCCTGTCTCTTACAGGATCCGTTTCAAAATTTTACTTTTTGTTTTTAAATCCCTTCATGGCCTGGCCCCAGTTTACATCTCTGAGCTGCTGTCCGCTTACGTCCCTGCCAGAACCATGAGGTCCAGCTCTCAAGCTCTTTTAACAGTTCCAAAAACCCGCCACGAGACTCGCGGCGACAGAGCGTTCTCTGTGGTTGGGCCCAAACTGTGGAACAAGCTACCTCTCAACATCAGGACCACACAGAATCTAGAGCATTTTAAATCCCTTCTTAAGGCGCAGTTTTTTGATTTGGCTTTTAATGCAGGTTGACTTGAGCATCTTAATAGTTTTTAACAGTTTTTATCATAGATTGTGACTGTTGTGTGCTCATCTTATTTTAGGTTTTTATTGTTGATTTGTTGTATCTTGATTTGTTTTACCTTGTACAGCGCTTTGGTGTAGCTTTGCTGCTGTAAATGCGCTCTGTAAGTAAAATTGACCTTGACCTTGACCAAAGCTGCATTATTGGTTCTGGAAAGGTGAAATCTAAGCCCCGCCCCTATTTAAAGTGGGGTTTTCACGTTTTTACAGTGATAGCTTCTTTTACTCCTCTCTCAAATCATCTATCTTCTCTGTCCAGAATGTGGACTTTGTCATCTTCAAAGGTGTGTCCCTTGTTCTTCAGGTGGAGGTGGACTGCAGAGTTTTGACCTGAAGAGGTGGCTCTCCTGTGTTGTGTTATGTTCTTGTGTAGTTGTTGTTTAGTATCTCTAATGTAAACATCTGGACAGTGCTCCTACACTGGACTGCATAAACGACCCCACGGAGCTTCTGTTTGGGTGTTTTGTCTTCTGGATGGACCAGGTTCTGTCTGAGGGTGTTGTTGGGTTTAAAGTTTACCGGGATGTTGTGTTTGGAGAAGATTCTTCTAAGTTTCTCTGAGACTCCTGCCACGTATGGGATGATGGTGCCTTTGTGTAAAGGAAGTTGTTGTTAGGTTGGTAGCAGAGCTCTCATGTTTAGTGTTAAATTCAGTGAGATCATGGAATGGGATCAAGAATTTTCTACTGACAGGAAAAAGATCTCAGCTAACATAGCTGTAGATCACACTGGATAACTTCCTGTGGTTGCATTTATTTTACATTTATTTTACTACCTCTTACTAGAGCTGTCTTTAGTAAGCACAAAATATCTTTGGTTGTACACCTGTGCAATAGCAATAAAGTATCTTGATTCCTGTTAAATGTACTTCCTGAATGAGTGACCTTTTCAGGCTAAAATAACAAAATGACAAATACAGACAGAAGGACGACTTCTTTCTTCTTTTATAATGCGTTGCATCACCACCTGCTATCAGAACAGGACTCAGTATTGGAAGATAATCAAAAATCAAACAACTTGGACTCGGATCAGGGGCAAAAATGTGGTTGTAACATCTCTAGATATAAGTCAGCTTTAAAAACTGAAACTATTATTTATGAACTAACATAAACACTAATGACACTAATTTATATATTTTTATTATGTTGTTTGAACCCAAGGGTCTCATTATCTGAATTTTCTAACTTATTGGATTGCTCTATAAGTGCCCCTTTTTTTACTTTGAGCACCCGCCCCGTCAAAGGTCTCTGCACGGCCCTGATAGAAAACAGGCTTCAACACAAACAGTTGTTTTCTGCTTGGTCCTAGAGCTCAACCAGTGTCACTTTAACATAGCGTAATATTGTTTTTGGATGGTAAAAAGTGCAGGGGTCAAAACTTGACTTTGGAAAAAGTGTGTGTGTGTGTGGGGGGGGGGGGGGGGGGGGGGGAACATGTCCCCCCGCCCCCCCAAAAAATTACGTCCATGTTTACATTGCTTTCAAGTTCCTGTTTGGCCTGACCAGAACGGCTGAGTTTGACACGTTCTGGAAGTTTAGCACACACACACACAAAAAAAAAAGATGCATTAAGCTCAGCAGTTCAGATAGGGCCCCAAAAGAACTCAAACATGAAAGTAGTGTGAAACATACAGAAACTTTCAAAATAAAGGTCACGTGCAGATTTCTAGTTGTTTAATTAGTAAAAAACAAGTATTTAACTACCTGTGAAACCTCCATAGCCCAGGTAAAAAGAACAGAAAAAACCACAGACCTTTTTGGATACATGCTGTCATCTATGTCCTCAATTGTTGTTGGAACTACAAAAATCACGCATGGTTCTCCAGTCATCACATGCCCCCACGTGACCGGCTTCGTGGAATGCTTTCGCTGCAGTTTCACATCTGACTTACTCCCTCCATGAAGGGACCTCGCGGGCAAACATGTCTTTTACATTAACCACTATTCACACACACACTTGAGATTACTATCTTAACATGTCTTACGTCTCTAGGTGGATTGTCTGAGATGGCCAGAAGACCAGCCCTGTCCACCTCCACAGGTGAAGAACTTTACATGGAGGGAATCATGGATGATTTCACACTTTTGGATATTGTTTATGCAAATCAGTTTGAAGGAGATATCCTAGACCAAGACATTATGGAGGAGACAGAAGCAAACTTTTACAGAGGCGCTCCACCTGAATGGTTAAATTTCCACATAAATGAACTTCGTTCGTCTCCGTTCATCAAAAGAGATGGCTACGGCAGATTGGTTCAATGGATTTATAAAAGGACAAAAGGTCCTGGAACGTCAATGGTTAAACTTTTTCACCAACAAGGAAGTGGGGGAACCACGCTGGCCATGCAGGTGTTGTGGGACATGAGAAAAACCTTCAGATGTGCCGTTTTGACCGGTTCTACCTTGGAGACAACAAAGATTGCCAAGGAGGTGGTCCACCTTTTCACAGGAGGCAGCGAACATGATCACAACACCGTGCTGCTGTTACTAAACGATGAGTTTATTTTAGATAACCTGCAAGACTGCATAATGGCAGAGATCACTGAGCAGGAAGTAGTTGCTGATACGCCCATAGTCATTTTATTCAACTGTGTTAGAAACGACTATGTTGTCCTCCAAAAAGAACGGTCTTACAAAGAAAAGGTGGAATTCAAAGATAAACAAGACGTGATCCTTAAAACAACTCTTTCAGACTCCGAAAAGGAGCAGTTTGAGGCCAAAAAGGAGGACCTTAGCAGAAGGTATGGCGATAAAACCAAACAGTTCCATGGTTTCAACATACTTCAGACTGATTTCTCACGGGATTATATCCAGGAGGTGTGTGCCATATTTGAAAAGACAGAAAGAAGAAACAAGCCCCTGAAGATGCAGCTTGTTGCTTTCCTGTCCCTGCTGAATGCTTATGTACCGGGCTCCTATCTTCTGGAGTCTGATTGCCTGCAGTTCCTGAGACGGGACAAATCGGTTCGCGGTGACCTGTCGCTGGCAGACTTGATGCAGCCCTTTAGTCATCTCATCCTCTCTTACAAACATGAAAAAAGACGTGAGAAAAAAATCCAGATGGCTCACCCAATGATAGCCAAATGTTGTACTAAACTGTTAACTAAAGCAGAGGTGACCAGAAGGGATAAGGCAAGAAACTTCTTGATCAGCTTTTGCAAAGGGGATGTTTCTACATATTTGCTTGGATTCATCAAAGACCTGCTGACAAAACGAAACAAGAAGAAGACTAAAATGGAGGAAAACACAGAAAAGCCTGGTGTTAGGCTTCAGAAAGAAGATGAGGATGTTGAGAAGTATTCCAGGCTGATTTTAGACATTACCAAGAAGGAAGACAAAAAGGAGAGTGCATCAGTTCTAAAGGTTGCATCAAACAAATTTGTAACAAACCCGTGCTTCCCCCAGGCTCTTGCTCGCTTTTGTTACAGAGAACTCAAAGATTACAAGGAGGCAGAGATGTGGGCGAAGACGGCAAAAGAACGAGATCCCAAGAAATCGTTTATCGCCGATACACTAGGCCAAGTTCACAAGAACCATCTAAAGAACAAAGAGTCTTCCACTGACACAAAAGCACTTTTACTGCTGGCCCAGAAGGCCATTGAGGCCTTTGAAGAAGAAGAGCGACTTGCTGAAGAAGAACATAAGAAAAGTTTGATAGAGGAAGAGAAATCCAAAGTCCTGCGTGAGTTAAACAACAGAGGACACTTTGGTTTCCTTCAAGTGTGCAGCATTCTGTTTGATCGACTTAGTGAAGACAAAACCTGGAGAAGAGTTCTCACAAACAACATAACCATGGGCTCGGCCCTAAAATTGCTTGGAGACAATAAACTTTTTAGGTTTAGTAACTTTGTAGACAGTCTAAGAGAGAAAGTTGAAAAGAAATTTGAATTTTTTGATACCTTTCTCGCTTATTCTGTGTCCATCACGAGAAAAGACAAGGCGTACGTTTCTTGGGAGGCAGCACAAAGCTACAAAAAGTACATTGGAGAGTCGGGACCCAAAGACAAAGACAAATTTGAAAAAAACACCCAGAGCCTGAAACAAAAACTAGCTGTCACCTCCGCTGGAGTCCTCTCGTGTCTAGACAGAAGATGCACCTTATCAGATGTTCAACACATTGTGAAGTGTTGGGAGGAAATGTGTCAAAGCAAAGATTCTGCTTTTGTCAACTTCATCCTGGCTAAGATCGTGCTTTCAAACAAAATCAACACTCCACCGAGTTCTGGCCATCAACACACACTGAGACAAATGAAACCACCATGCCCTGTAGAATATCACATGCTAAACCTCCTTCTGTTCTGGCCCACAGAAGACGAGGACAAACCTAAATCTGACCTCAACATACTAACCGAACGTGTTAGGCATGCTTATGAAGGGGAATATGGGACGGTCTTTCGATCAAGATACCTTCGACCTTTATTTTTTATTGGACCAGGCAAAAGCTTGACCAGATTTGTCCACCGACGGACCCTTGAGATTGTGTTTACTAAAGATGCACTAATAGAATCAAACACTAACTGGAGAAGCGAGAACATTTTCAAGGATCCCATCGTTCAAGAGCGCCTTATCAAAATCGAAGGAGTTGTACGACACTACCGAGTGTATGCAACATTCAGAGGCACAGAGGTCGAGGTAGAAGCCAACAGAAAAGACAGCCTCTGGAAGTCAGGTGATGTCACCTTTTACCTTGGAATAACCATTAAAGGTCCGGTGGCCTTCAGCATTCAGAGGAGACTAACAATCGCTGAGGGTAAGAAAAACAACTGCTCATTTAAAATCACAACACAAACTAATTAATGTGAATTCTGTGAAATTGCTTCAAATATTTAAATAGCACTTTATGATACACTCACTGGCCTGTTTATTAGGTACACCTTGCTCATACTGTTGGACCCACTTTACCTTCAGATATTCCGTAATTCCTAATGTCACAGATTCAAGGAGGTGTAGGAAATTCCTCAGAGGTTCTGGTCTTTCTCAACATAGCATCACACAATTCCATCTATCACGTGAATGGTAAAATGGTAAATGGTCTGTGTTGAAAAAAGATTTTTGATTCCTCCAGACCTGTAGTCTGGCAAGCCAGACTAAATAAATGTATTATTTAGTCTGGCCACGCTCCACTGACGGCTCTCGGTTGTGGGGCGGGTTCTACCGTTGTCTTTCAAATGATCTCCGCATTCCACTGGACAATGAATGTGACTGTCACATCCTGTCCTGTCTACTCTTAGGTTTTGTCTGTGTCTCTGTTAATTGCTCCCACCTGCCTCTTGTTTCCCAATCACTTTAGCTCCCGGTCCTCCTGTATTTAAACCCCGTCTGTTTTGTGTCCTTTGTGGAGTCATTGTTTCAGTGTCCAGCGTGTGTCTTCAATAAACCTGTGTTAAACGGACTCACCTGTTCGCCTTCTTGCTCCCTGCGCTTGGATCCTCCTCGCTGCCTGGCACGCACGTGACAGAATGACTCCACCATTCAGTAATGGATCCAGCAGGGAGAATCTTCCGTGGAGTTGCTTTCTTCAGTGGTTCATGTCCGACCACCGGCCAGCTTCTCCCTCTCCGGCCCCAGCTCCGCCTCGCCGCCGCCGGCGTCCCCGGCCATCAGCCTCGGCGTTCCTCGCCGCCCTTCCGGAACCGGACGGGAGTTGGGATGGGGAGACGCTCCTGGATCGCTCCAGCTATGAGGGCACAAGGCTGGCGATCTGCCCTCCCGGAGTCGGTCCACGGCGTGGGGAAAGTCGCCGGAAGCCACCGCAGCCCTGCGCTTCAGGACGGAGCTTCGAGCATGCCACTTCCTCCTCCAAGTCTCCTCCTTCTGCTCCGAGACGTCAGTCCGTTCCTGCCCCGGTCCAAACTATCCGGACCGGCTTCATTTCCTTCTCCCCTAAACCTGTTGGTGCCCTCTCAGCACATCCGAAGGGCCAAGCCACCACACCCTCGCCTGGACCAGACAGCGCTGTTGCATCTTCTCCGGTGGGCTGTCATTCCTCCTCAGTTCCTGCCAGTGTCCTCTCCATACCTCAGCTGAGCCAAAAAAAAACACGCCGACGCCGCCACAACCGTCCTGCTCCAGCGGTGGTCCCGGTGGACGCATCGCCTCCTGTTCCAGCGGTGGTCCCGGTGGACGCATCGCCTCCTGTTCCAGCGGTGGTCCAAGGGGACGCATCGCCTCCTGCTCCAGCGGTGGTCCAAGGGGACGCATCGCCTCCTGCTCCAGCGGTGGTCCAAGGGGACGCATCGCACCTTGTCTCGGCAGAGGAGGATGCACGGGCTCTGGTCCAGCCCATCCATGGGGCCCCGGGTCAGAAGTCAACGCCTCCCGGCTCGAGCTCCGAAGCAGACGCACCCGGCTCGAGCTACGAAGCAGACGCACCCGGCTCGAGGTCCGAAGCAGATGCACCCGGCTCGAGCTCCGAAGCAGACGCACCCGGGACAGATGTCGACTCCTCTGAAGTCTGCTCCCAAGTCGACGTGGCCTCCCCTGATGACGGCTCGTCTGATGACGTCGCCTCCCCTGATGACGGCTCGTCTGATGACGTCGCCTCCCCTGATGTCGGCTCGTCTGATGACGTCGCCTCCCCTGATGTCGGCTCGTCTGATGACGTCGCCTCCCCTGATGTCGGCTCGTCTGATGACGTCGCCTCCCCTGATGTCGGCTCGTCTGATGACGTCGCCTCCCCTGAAGTCGGCTCGTCTGATGACGTCGCCTCCCCTGATGTCGGCTCGTCTGATGACGTCGCCTCCCCTGATGTCGGCTCGTCTGATGACGTCGCCTCCCCTGATGTCGGCTCGTCTGATGACGTCGCCTCCCCTGATGTCGGCTCGTCTGATGACGTCGCCTCCCCTGATGTTGGCTCGTCCGATGACGTCGCTTGTGGTCTGACGTCTCCCCCATCTCCAGTTCCAGTGGTGATTCTGAGGGTTGCTCCGGTCCAGCCTGCAGGGACTTTGTCGCCGGTCCAGCCTGTGTCCCCGGCCCAGCCTGCGGGGCTCCTCTGCTGCAGGCGCCGCCCCCCTAGGGTTCGTCCTCATCTCCTCATCTGCCCCAGGCGCCGCCCCCCTAGGGCTCGTCCTCGTCTCCTCATCTGTCCCAGGCGCCGGCCCCCTAGGGCCCGTCGCCTCCTCATCTGCCCCAGGCGCCGTCCCCCTAGGGCCCGTCGCCTCCTCATCTGCAGCAGGCGCCGACCTCCAAGGGCCCGTCGCCTCCTCATCTGCAGCAGGCGCAGGCCTCCTGACTCTGCTGATCCCTGCCGCCTCTCCTGTGGTCCCTCGGTTCCTCTGGGCCCTCCCTCTGGGTCCCCCTCCTCCCGCCCTGCTCCTGGTTCCTGTGGGCGTCTGGGATCCGCCCTTTGAGGGGGGGGTACTGTCACGTCCTGTCCTGTCTACTCTTAGGTTTTGTCTGTGTCTCTGTTAATTGCTCCCACCTGCCTCTTGTTTCCCAATCACCTTAGCTCCCGGTCCTCCTGTATTTAAACCCCGTCTGTTTTGTGTCCTTTGTGGAGTCATTGTTTCAGTGTCCAGCGTGTGTCTTCAATAAACCTGTGTTAAACGGACTCACCTGTTCGCCTTCTTGCTCCCTGCGCTTGGATCCTCCTCGCTGCCTGGCACGCACGTGACAGTGACATACTCTTTGTTACGGACCCTGAGTTCTCCAGCACTCAGCTTCTACTCCGCACCCTTATTCCTGCACCATTTTCAGGACCTTGGAGAGCGCCCAGCTCCCTGGCTTCACTCTATGCAGCTGACTCTCATCAGGAATCACCCAGCTGGAGCAGATAAAGATCAGCGCTGCTCAGAGAGGACGGCGAGGGAGAGGAGAGGCGAGAGAGAGAGAGGATTGAGGCTGACAGAGAGAGGACTGGAGAGAGGATTGGAGTGAAAGATTGCTTACTTTGGAGAACTTGTGGACGGTTGCCCCTGGCTGGTTTAATTTCCACCCGCATAAGAAAACCGGTTGAGCTCCGGTTTTCTTTGCTCCTAACAGAGTTGACTGTTGCGTGGGTGAGTTGGTTCACCAGTGGACCTTTTGGTAAGGCCTCCGGGCAAGCTCCGTTGTTCCTGGTTTATTTTCAGAACCAGTGAGTTTCCGTTCCCATTGTTATTTGCTCCTTTAGTTACTTTAAGCCCTCAGCATTTGTTCCTGCAGCCTAAATTAAACTCCTATTTTCATTAAACAGGTTTTTTTCTCCCTTAGGGACACCTTTAGTTAATAAAAGGACTTTCTTTTGATTGTGACTTGGTGTCAGATTGGTTCTTTTCTTTTCTCACGTTCCTGTGTTAGGCCTCCCTGAACCTAGACCAGGCTGAGGTCGTAACATATTGGGGGCTCGTCCGGGATATTATTTTGTTATTGATTCATTTGTTACGTTAACGTGATTGGTGGTGTGATTTGAGTACCCGTGTTGTTGTGCTAACGTGAGCATGTTTAATTTAAAGGAGTTTCTGGCTGCCCCTTCTCGGGACCAGGTCGAAAGCTTCAAAAGGACCGAACTGGCAGAGTTGGCTGTACACCTCGGTCTCCAAGGCATCCAGAACCTGCTGAAAAAGGACTTAAAGGATTCTGTGATGGCCGCGTTGGAAAAGGAAGGTTTGTTACAACCTCCTCTCAGTGACTCTTCTGATTTGCCCCTGAAACAGGACATGGAGGATGGACAGACTGTGAAAGCTGCTACTTCCGTTCCTGTGGGTGCTGCACCCGAGCGCCTTTCTGTCCCAGATGAACAGGACGCTCTTTCGCGGCAGACGCCGCTCACAGGAGAGAGTTTATCCACCACTTCCTCTGCGGCTAGTATGGAGAATGCACGTCTTCGTCTCAGGCTGGCCCGCATGAAATATGAGGCTGAGGAAAAGTCCCGATTGCAGCAAATCGAACTGGAGATCCGCCGCTGTGAGATCGAGGCTGAAACAAAGTTAAAACTGAAACGTATGGAGTTGGAATACCAAGCAAGAGGAGGTGCTTCTTCTACTACAGACTATGAGCACGAGAGGTCCATGGACAAACAGAGAAACGAGTGTGACATCAGCAAGTGCCTTGTTCTGGTGCCGACTTTCCGGGAGAGCGAGGTTGACAGCTACTTCGCTACATTCGAGCGTCTGGCCGCTGCTTTAGACTGGCCCCAAGAGGTGTGGTCCACTATGCTGCAGTGTAAGTTAACCGGAAAGGCTCAAGAGGTAATTGCTTCTCTTTCTTTATCTGACAGCATGGATTATAATAAAGTAAAAGCTGCTGTTCTTGTTGCTTATGAGTTGGTTCCTGAAGCCTATCGTCAGAAGTTCCGGTCACAGCATGTAAAACTCTCCACGCAAACTTATGTTGAGTTCTCTAGAGAAAAAGCTCTGATGTTTGAGAAATGGATCCTTGCCTCAAAGGTTGAAACTCTACAGGATCTTAAAGAGCTAATTCTCCTGGAGGAATTTAAGAAGTGTTTGCCAGAGAGGTTGGCATTATATTTAAATGAAAGACAAGTCTCTTCTCTCTCCTCAGCCGCCCTACTGGCGGATGAGTTTGTGTTGACGCACCGTGTTGGTGGTGTTCATCAGGGTGAATCTGCTCGCCCGGTGTCAGTAACACCTTTTAGAAACTCTCCTTCTCCTCCTCGTCCTCAGAAACCTCGCTGTTATTATTGCCACCTGGTGGGGCATGTCGCGAGGGATTGTGTAATCCTCAAGCGGAGGAATGAAAAAAGAGGGTCTGCTGCGCAGCCCGTGGGTTTTGTCTCCAAGTCGGGAGAAAATAACAGTGGTTTTGGTCCTTTCATGTCAGAAGGACAAGTGTCTCTTACAGAAAGCTGTGAAAAGCTGACCCCTGTTAAGATTTTAAGAGACACTGGGGCTTCTCAGACGTTAATTTCACAGAAAGTGTTGCCATTTGATGACTTGAGCTCTACCGGCTCTTCCGTGTTGTTGGCTGGAGTAAATGCTGTGCCTGTTTCTCGCCCGCTTCACAGAATTTACTTAAGGAGTGGACTTTTTACTGGGTTGTGTGAAGTAGCAGTCTGCCCTTCCTTGCCTGTGGAAGGTGTAGCTCTTCTTTTAGGGAATGACTTGGCTGGAGGTGCGGTCATTCCTCCCCCAGTGGTGAAAGAGAACATCGCACCCGGAGAGTGTGAGGAGACTCCCGCAGGAGTGCTCCCCGCTTGTGTGTGTACCCGATCTCAAGCTAAGAGAGCGCATGAGATTTTGGATCTCTCCAGTTTGTTTGACGATTCGCAGAGTGATGTTCTTAATCCCGCTGAAACAACTTCTTCCACTCATCTGGTCACAAATGAAGTGTTGTCCAACATGTTTCCGCTAAGTCCGGCTTCTTTGGAGGCGGAACAACGGTCTGATAAATCTCTGACCGACTGCTTTGAGCATGTGGGAAAGAAAATAAATGGAACTACTGGTTATGTTATTAAGAATGATGTGTTGCTGAGAAATTGGTGTAAACCAGTAGCTAAAAACATCACAGACCGTCGCAGGAAAAATTGTGTTTGTAATGTTATCATGTTGGAAAGATATCTGTCTCCTCAGACTACTGCACAACCACCCGGTGAGGCCGCGGTGTGCGCAGCCGCTGCCATCACTCCAGTTCTGGATGAGGTTACCCAAACCCATCTAGTGGCGCCAGAACTTCCTTTGTGCAGCATTTATCTGGATAACATAGTTACTCACACTTCCTCCTGGGATGACCTGTTGGCTTTGGAAAATCCTGTAACTCATCTGGAACCGACCAGCTTCACCACGAACCTCGCAACTCATTGTTTTTATAAGAAAGTTGCTGCTATGGGAGCTACACTAACATTTTTACTGTCTCCAAAGGTCCCGTTTGTATTGGATGTTGGTGCTCAAGCGTCCTGTGATGGCTGCAAACACATGAAGCCGCCACCGGAAAGGAACCGAGAATGTCATCGATGTTTGTTTATCGCGATCCTTCAGCACCCACGATCAGTTTTCAGACGGCTGAGATCCCCTGGCTAGGGTGGAGAGATTATTTCCTCTTTAGGGGATAATCTATTTGTTATTTTGTTAGTGTTGTGGCCCATGGGTTAGTGTTGGTGATTCATTTCACCTTCTCGGGAGCACTCCAGAAAGAGAACCTCTCTTTGCTGGATATGTTTTTTTGTGTCTTTTGCACCGTGCTTAATCTGCCCGCCCAAATCCACATGAAGAGCTAGGCTTATTTTTAGTTAGTTTTTGGTTAGGCAGATGGCGGGGACTCGGTCTCTGTGTGGGCGTTTGGTGTTTCTGGTAGAGGAAAAAAAAAAAGGGGGAGACACATTATGAGAAAAATGGTGTTTTTATTCTGTTTTCACTTCCACCATTTTTCTTTACTTTAGGTATGGGGGTGTTACGGACCCTGAGTTCTCCAGCACTCAGCTTCTACTCCGCACCCTTATTCCTGCACCATTTTCAGGACCTTGGAGAGCGCCCAGCTCCCTGGCTTCACTCTATGCAGCTGACTCTCATCAGGAATCACCCAGCTGGAGCAGATAAAGATCAGCGCTGCTCAGAGAGGACGGCGAGGGAGAGGAGAGGCGAGAGAGAGAGAGGATTGAGGCTGACAGAGAGAGGACTGGAGAGAGGATTGGAGTGAAAGATTGCTTACTTTGGAGAACTTGTGGACGGTTGCCCCTGGCTGGTTTAATTTCCACCCGCATAAGAAAACCGGTTGAGCTCCGGTTTTCTTTGCTCCTAACAGAGTTGACTGTTGCGTGGGTGAGTTGGTTCACCAGTGGACCTTTTGGTAAGGCCTCCGGGCAAGCTCCGTTGTTCCTGGTTTATTTTCAGAACCAGTGAGTTTCCGTTCCCATTGTTATTTGCTCCTTTAGTTACTTTAAGCCCTCAGCATTTGTTCCTGCAGCCTAAATTAAACTCCTATTTTCATTAAACAGGTTTTTTTCTCCCTTAGGGACACCTTTAGTTAATAAAAGGACTTTCTTTTGATTGTGACTTGGTGTCAGATTGGTTCTTTTCTTTTCTCACGTTCCTGTGTTAGGCCTCCCTGAACCTAGACCAGGCTGAGGTCGTAACACTCTTGTTTCACTCTGTTGCATCATCCCACCCACCAGGCATATAGAGTGCCCTGATTGGCCCACAAAGTGGATAAAGCTCTGTGATTTGTTCACTAAGCAGATAGAGCACTATGATTGGCCCACCATTATGGACCAATCACAGCTCTTTATGTGTTTGAAACCCCTCTAGAGAGCTGTGATTGGCTAGCCAGAGTCCTGGTAGGAGCTGCGGAGGTTCCAATGGAGCATGACTAGACCAAACTTTGCAAAGCAAGAATTTGGTCTAGTTCACTAGGCTACCAGACCTGTGTATTAAACAAAAGCAGTTCTGGATTACCTCTCAATCTGTGTGTTAATAAAACCAGGCTGTGAGGTCAGAGAGAGGTCTGTGTGTGTAACCCCCAAATTCCACTACCTCCGCTCCGCTCCGGTCCGCCCCCGCCTTCCGCAGCCGCTCGCTTCCGAACTCAATTTTTACTGGTACCCGCTCTACAACGGCTCCGCTCCGGTGCGGAGACCTGAGGGAGGCAAACAAGCATGCGCGGGATTTTCGAGATCTTGCGATACAGTCCGAGCAATAAACGCGGAAGTTAGATCCAAACACCCGTTGTGTGGGAGAAGCATCGAAATGAACTGTTTAATCTGCCCATCATTTGTGTTGAGACATCAGCAGTGTTTGGATCAATAAAGTGTGACTACTTTGATAGTAGAAACTGTATTTATGGCTTAATTTTGTGCATTTAAACTTCAGCTGCCATTGATAGTGATTAAAAGTTGTTAAATCTGTGCATATGAAACAAAAAACGCATTTTGTTTATCGATTTATTGTGAAATACGGAAATTGTGCTTGCTCCTTTTCCTGTTGGGCGGTTGTGATTTCTGTCCATTTACTGCGGAGGTGCTCCGGCATCCGGCGAAAATAGGATCGATTCTATTTTTGCCGGATGCCGGAACAGAGGGCGGCGCACGGCGCCGCACTGCCGGAGCACGGCTGCAGTAGTGGAATTGCTCTGATTGACTACAACGGGATCGATTTTGCTCCGGCGTTCGTGTCGGAGCGGAGCGGAGGTAGTGGAATTTGGGGGTAAATGTGTGTTGACTCCTGAGCTCCCAATGTCGTAGGGGTTGCATAACTTAATTTTTTAAAAAGTCGACAGTCAAGTAATGAAAATCGAGTGGACTTCGACCAGTCGTTGATGACGTCATACACCTGAAGCGGCACGGGGGGGGGGGGGGGGGGGGGGGGGGGTAGACGGTAGGTTCGCTAGAGTTTTTGACTATTAAAATTGCGCCCACATTTTCTAAGTTAACACATCTCTTTTAACAACGGTAGTTTCTGCTTTAGCTCTCTCCCCCCTCCCCCTGCGCAGCGGCCGCAAACTCACTAATGCACCTGCAGCCTCTCAGAGTTCCTGCTGCTTTAAACATTAAAATAATTATTTCATTTTCTGTTCCTCACTTCTGATTACCTTCAGTGGTGTTTGTTTGTTGCAACCAGGTACAAAAACAAACTTGTTTTTATTTGACTATTTTTTTGTCCTGCCTGTTTATTATCTTCCTGCATCTCCTCTCAATCCTAAAGAAAAACTGCTACCTGGGTTCATTTATATTCACCTTATGAGTTACCTTTGAACTGCAGTTCTAAGGTCTACCGACCGCAAAACAGCGGAGTGCCGCTGCTCGCCGGCCGACTACAACGGGACAGTTTTTGCTGTGGAGTTCGTGCTGGAGCGGAGCGCAGCGGAGATAGTGGAATTTTGGACCGCGGTGATGCGCCTCGCTCCGCAGCAGCGAAACGCATCAGGCACAAATAACAGACAGAAAACATTAAAGGAAATGAGCCGACATGAACGATCGCGTGTTTAATTTGTTTTTGAGGTGGTGACACCTGATTTGGCGGTGCTCAGGACGCAGATGTCTGGAGCACATCAACGATCAGAGCTTTGCATGCGCAAACTGGTTAAGATTAGGATGGGGGTGAGGGGAAGGTAAAATTGCAAGAGGGAAAAGGTCACAGTTTGGTTAAATGTCCGTTTTACCGCCGGTGTCGGTACAGACTCTCTGGCACAGCGCGTCGTCTCCACCTCCCGACGCAGGGGCTCATGACCTGCTGTCTTTTCCGAGGACTGCATCTTGTCAGTCATTATCACGTGACAGCGACTAGTCGATGACAGGCATAAAAAGTCACTACAGAGCCGTGAAGTCGACTAGTCGACTAGTTCATACAACCCCTACAATGTCGTAAATAATGGATGTGCTTCACTACTCTGCTGTTTTTGGTGAATATATGTTGGGCTTTAGCCTTTTACTGACCTCTGTGGGGTTAGTCCAGTATGCAATAAATATTCAGGGTAGACGCTGTGTCTAGGATATGTTTATGATTGGCTTAAAGCAGACCGCTGGAGTGGAGGAGACAAGGAAGGGGGGTACGCCTCCCCCTGCTGAATAATGACTACAAGAGAGGAATGAGGTAATGCCGGAAGGACCTAAGCAAGAGACGCTGGGAGGAGTCACAAAGGCCGGCAGAGTGCTTCCTGAGGCGGGAGTTGTCATGGAGACGAAGAGGAGACCAGAAGGAGGGGGAAGTGAAGAAATAAAAAGGGGGGCCCAGGAGGAGTTGGGGTTCGGGTTCGAGTTGAGTTCTGGAAGAGTTCTGTACGAGTTTGGCGGAGCTCGGTGGTTTTTGACCAGCTGTGTCGGGGTGATTGTCTGGATTAATTTTCTTTTTTTCATCATATTAAATAAAAACCTTGGTTCCTTATTGTATGGAACTTAAAAAGGATTTTCAGTGCCTGGGGTCTCCGGTTGGTGACTTGTAACCAAAAAGGTGAGATGCTGGTTACTTGTTATCCCACTCCAAGAGGTTTAGAGTCGTTAACCTGAGCAATACATAAGCTGCAGGTGACTAAGGTGTGTTTGGGTTTGAACAGAGTCTTCCTTTGAGCTGCAAGCAGTGCGTTTGCCGGGATCAGAGTCTAGGTTAATGGTGATCGCTGATTAGCTCCTATAGTGTGCAGGCAGTCTTAGAGAGCGACTGAATATCACGCCCACGCATAAATAGAAATACAAGACAACCCTGAGACGTAACGTCTGTTAAAGAGTCAGCTAGTTTGGGAAGATGGCTTGTAACATGGCGCCCTTAACGTGGGGTGGTGATTTTACAGTTGTGATGAAAAAAGCCTGTTAGTGAGCTTAGAAAGTCCGGAACTGGGAAATTCTCCGCAAGGGCGGACAATTGTCCATAAGGAGCCGGCTATATTGGTCAAGGGGCCGCTTAGGGAAACCTATGAGCTCTGATTCTGAAGTCTAGTAGCTGGAAATGTTTGGGACCTCCTAATCTGATTGAATCGTTTCTGTGGGAATACGTTCCCTCCACCAAGTGCACACGGCACGAGGAGGCTTTGTGGGAGCCTCGTGAAAGATTCTCACACGCAGGAAAGTGAGTGGCCTCGTAAAAGAATCTCTCAAAACAGAATTAAATCGCAGGTTGAAATTCCTGACCTCGTGGACGGAATCCGAGGCAGAGCCGCTAAGTTGTTGCCGGTGTGTGTGCACGCACACCCTGTCTTTAAAGGACAACGATTTTGATGCGGGTGATCTTTATGAGTAAAGGTACTCGTGTAACTGAAGGAAATTTAGGGATGGCTGCAGTAAGCGAATATGGTTCCGAGGAGGAGGAACGCGGTGAGAGAATGGCTGATATCGAGGGCTTGTGGGCTCATGATGACCCAGCTAGAGTGCGAGCGATACTTTCTGGAAAGGCCCAGAACGGGACAAGTTTCTCCCATGGGAGAGGGAACTTGCAGCTTGGCATAAATATTTGTTTCCAATTTTGTGCTTAGCTGATGGCCAACCTGTGTTACTGTACACAAAGGAACCAGAGCTTTGGAATTTCACATCCACTCACATGATTCCAGGTAAGGCTCTGACGTCCAGAAATGAGAAATGGGATGCAATGTTGCTCGATACCACAATTTCACTGATCCCCGAGGGTTCTGATGTAAAACCTAAGAAAAGGAAGGAGATTGAACCTCCTAGAGACCCGGAGAAGGGCATCACCTACTACACAGACGGGTCAAAAACCCAGGATGACGTTATGGCATTCTGGGCATGGACTAAATATGTACATAACAAAAGACCTCTCAGAGAAAAGGGAGGATTGCAGGTTCTGCTCAGAAGGCGGAGCTTACGGCTGTGTTAGAGGCGATGGTGCACCATGTGAGGACACATGGAAAATCCCCTGCGCTGATCATTACTGACAGCGAGTGGGTGTGTAAGGGGGGTGAACAATGAACTACCCATGTGGGGAGAAGCATGGAATGACCAAGGGTCAGACTGGAGGACCTGTGAAGTTTACAGACGAGTGGGCTCTGGTTGCTAACTGTCTGAGAAAAGGTAACTTCCAGGTTCGACACCAGCCGGCTCACACGTTGAGTGACACCTCTGCTGTCAGAGGAAATGCTGAGGTGGACAAACTGGTTCAGGCCAGGATGGTGAGATTGGTTTTGCATGACAGCACAGTCTGACCATGACCTGGTGAAGAAGTTACATGAGACTCTGGGACACCATGGCTTTCAGAGGCTGAAGAAGTGGTGCTTGCAGAATGCAGTTTGCATTCCCCATTTGGACTCTGTGCTGAGAGACATTAAATCACGCTGTGCTCTATGCTTGGAGCTGGGCAAACAACGCACAGAGAAAGTGGTCGGTGACCGCATTGGCCCGGAAGGTTTGACCTCTGTCTCATGTGACATTGGAGAGCTAAAGAGAACGCGAAGGGGCAATAAGTATTTCCTAGTGGTCAATAGAAACAGGGGGGAAAATGTAGGAGGTATGTTTCCTTTGTCCAATATGACAGCAGGAAAGATTGCGGAATGTCTAGCGAGAATCCTGGTGTGTTATCCACAGATCAAAGCTATCAGGATGGATAATGCACCACATTTCAAAAATAAAGTTGTTCTGGAGCTGCTGGAGAATGAAGGACTAATAATCCAGTGGTCCATTCTTTACAAGCCACATACAAACGGAGTGGCTGAGAGAGCAGTTTGCACCGTTAAAGAGGCGATAAAAACTTTGAACTTGAAGGAATGGGATTCTCCAGGAGCAGTTCTGGCTATTAATAAGGCTCTGTTAGAACAGCCTTTGAGACAAGAAACTGCTAAAGACACACTCTCTGTCTCTCCACAGGGAGAACAAGAGAGGAGCTTCCTGCATAAAAGACCCCAAGATGGGAAAATTGAAAAGATTGAGGGGAGCCAGGAAGGAAACACAACCAGATGTGCAACCCCTAACCAAAGAACAGTCTGGCTTGGAGACTGTAAGAAAATGGGTCCCACAAAATGAATGTGGAATTGCATTCCCAATATGGCTGCTGAGTGCATCGAGTTCAGGAGGAATTACATTAGGTAAAGTTAAAGGGCAAAGTTGTAATGAGGAATGCTTCAGCTGGTCAGTTTATAGACCTGGAGCATGCGCAAACTGTGGTGAGGAGGTTGCTGAAATAAAATGGGAAGGCCCGAGAAGGCGTTACTTTAAAGCTGCTCCATTCTTCTCAGACCGTTGTTCAGTTTGAACTTCAGCACATCACGCCCGCACCATACTTAGACCTCTGAATGCTGCCTTATTGGCATTCGTGTTAACGCGCAGTTGAAAGGGTGGACCTGATAAAGTGGTCTGCGGGTGTGTATTATTTATGTATATAAAAGCTTCCTGTCTGGCTTGTGTTTCTTAACAACAGCAGGATCTTCTAGACGATCACAGCATGGTGCATGCAGCCATGACCTAGTAAGGTTTGTGACCCATTGAAAGATTTATGTTACTACATTAAATATGACTCTTTTTAATAAAGTGTTACATTTTGAATTAGGACTCCAGTGACTGGACTAAAGTTGACCCAGAAGTCAAAAAGCTGAATGAGATCCAAACCCACAGGTGATGATCCCATGTTAATACGGCCTTGCTATTGGCTTATTGGGGCAACAGTAAACACATCCTACAGGTGTTCACTAAGGTGTAGCTACAGTACATGTGAATCAATTAAAGTGAATGAAAATCTAAACCTACATCAAGTGCCGGACAAACACCAAATGTTTTTCTCTTCCTTTTGTAGCCTGCAGTCAGACAGAGGACGCTTTGAATGCAGCCTCTCATCACTGCGTTGGGTTTGCAAGGACCCAATCAGCTTTGAGTACCAGTTTGACTCATGGGAGCGACATAGAGAAAGGCTTGCCTGCATGGATTACATACCCGCTGGACCCCTGATGGACATTTCAGTCACATCTGGAAACATGGACGAGGTTTATCTGCCTCATTGGATTGGTGCGTTATCTCACTAAAACGTTCAGACATGCCCGATAAATAACAGCCAATGCTCATGCTGTTTGGCCTTCTGTATTGTTGGATTTCCATTAGATACTGAATCAACAAGTCCAGACATGTTTGCAGTTCTGCATAAGGACTCCTGCGGAGAGTCAGTTGAAAATGTGCCAGAAGTGACTTCTGCCCATGTGAAGCTAGCCCAACCAACCTTCTCCCCTAAGGGGGTGATCTTTCGGATAAGGCTCGGCTTACCGGTGAAAGTTCACCACGATGTTTTAATTTTCAAGACCAAACAGGAGTTCCTCACACTACATGTTTACCTCGTTCCACCCGATCCTGATCTGCAGCAGGTTTGTGTCAGTAATCCCTGGAATCTTCTCACATAGCTAACGATCGTCTGGTATTTTTCAGTTGGAAGCTAACTTGTTTCCTTTTTGATTTTATGACAGAAAGTGGAGAGAAATGAGTCATCTTTTGGATCACTGATGATCCCAAAGCCAAGTCCAGACAGGTCTCTGTAAATGCTGGACCATTTTGTCTTGGCAACAGACACAGACGATGCTGAAATTCAACCAGATGTAAGGGATCCTTGAATATTTAAATTTTGGAAACAGTTTTTTGAGCCTCTATTCAGTATATGAAAGTTTGTTAGGACTCAAAATGGTCCAGGAGCCCTGATAAATGGCCAAACACTTCCCCATAATAATGTCCACAATGTAAAGAATGGCTCACCCCGCCCACTCTGCCAGGAAATTAATAATTAGTAAGCTGTGTGCTGACTGGCTGGCTTACATCTACATCTCTATGACACTACCTGAAGTTAGAAACACTGTCTAGAGCCATGTACAGTGTCCGGATAACGGAATAGACAAGTTGTGGATCAATCTGCCAACCATTCAAAGTCTGGGTATTCCCCAGTACACCCTGGACATCCTTACTTTCCTCGTCCAACAAAGGTTGTTAGCAGTAGCTTTGGCTAGCCTTGGTTTGTGGTTAGCATTGCTGCCACCAACGTTTATAAAGACTGATTTGGCGAGAAATTTGTGTAGATCACCATCTTGCTGTGCCGCTATTGCTGCTGACACGTGTCAATGATTCATTCATTCATTATGTCATTGTAAAATGACTCTCTGTGACAGCATTATATTAGATAGTAGCTTCCAGTAACTGATAAAGGTATATTCAATTAATAGCAATGTTAATTTATGAATTAATCATTCGTTTGAATGATAAACAGGAAAGATTAACAAGGAGATAAGAGACACTGCACATATACCTAACGGTGACATTTAATTATTACGGACAGAAGGTTTGGGTGATTGGAAGAAATTATTTGACCATCCATGATGGGCTGAGCCTTGTAATGGTCGTTTTTACAAGTTTGTTAATAATGAGTCATGACTCGTGCAGGTGCTATGCACAATGCACATCACTGAGGTAAGATAATCCATCATGGTTCCCATCAGAGCACCTGATCACACTTTCTCCGCACCTCACTGTTGACAGTGTGTGCAAGCTGAAGAGGAGCTCGGAGCACGTCTGTCACAGACCTATGCCAAGCACTTCCAAATCTGGAAACCCTTTTTTTCAAAGAGCATCACCAACCTCTGGTTACTTAATTAGGAAAAACGTTCTCTGATTTAAAAACTTTGGCTGAAGTAGTGCTTATTCCATCACACACTTCCAATCCAGCCACCTGTGTGGCACCTGAGCTCGGATTCAGTCTCTAGAACAAAGAAACAACCACGAGTCTGTCCGAGGCAAAGTCTACAACCTCTTGAATGTAGCCTCTTCAGCATCCCTCTTAGACATCAGATTACAGACGGACAAGCAGGTGCACAGTTTAGGTTTACGTGGATCAGCAGGAATGTGCGTTCTGTCGCAGCAGGTCAGAAGTTCCTAATTAATGAGAAATTGACCAAACAACTTCTACTAAATTGACACTGATGAGTGCACACATCCTCCCGGCCTTCCTAGACAAGTTCACTAAAGTGACAACTTCACCTACGGCTAACTGACTGGGAACCATCACTACTGTAATGGTGGCAGCTGAACTTTTGGTTATTTCGCTGAATGGGTCTCCATGTGGCAAGGAGGAGAAACGAGGGCCCGGGCGGGATTCATTACCCAGACTCCTGGGTGAGAGTCATGTGCGCTAACCAGTCAGCCAAAGGGACATCCCCTTGGCCAAGTAGCCAGGGCGCATGATCAAGGATGCAGTGACAGGACGCTCACACCGCCACTTATACACACACTGCTGCATCTGGATTCCTGACCGGCACCAGAAAGAATGGACATGTCACGCGTGCCTTAGCCAATCTGCAGTGGCTTCCAGTTTCTGTCAGCGCTAGGTTCAAGATATTTGCTTTTGTTTTTAAGTCTCTGCAGGGTTGTACTACAAACTATCTGTCTGAGTTATTCGATGCTACCCATCTCGTGCACTGGTCATCACAGCGAGACTTGCTGGTCGTTCCACATATGAAATGCTCGACTAGAGGAGGCGGGGCTTTCTCGGTTTTGGCCCCTAAGCTGTAGGACGACCTTCCACTCGAGGTCAGACAAGCACCCTCGGCTTTTAACCCTTTCATGCATGAATTAGGAAATCTTCAACTATGATTTTTTTAAAACAATTTTTTTCATTCACCTTTAGGTAGAAATGAAACAAATTTCAACAAAAAAAATTTTCCTTCAACATTTAATTTACAAATAATGCAATAAAGTCTTCAACAGCTGCGCTTAATGGTAAAAAAAACAACAGTTTTGAGCAGCTGTCCACTGCAGAGACCATTATGAATGAAAGGGTTAAGAGTCGGCTGAAGACTCACTTTTTTACAGTGACTCAGCACATGAGTTAGCCACAATTTTACACAATTTAGCTCATTTTTATCCATTTTCATTTAGTTTTTTTATCAACATTTTTTTGCTTTTATCTCCTGCTTTTTGTTGTTTGAATGTATATTTTGTTGGCCCTTGCACAGGTCAGTGATCACCTCCTGGCTGATGGAAAGCTCTTTATAAATAAAGTTGATGATGATGGTGGTGTTCCGCCAACGCTGAAGTGGGTTGGGTCAAGTTAAAGAGGGTGTGTCTAAGCTCATGACGTGTTAAACCAGAACAAACCATTTCTCCATGACACCAAGTCTGAGCTTGGTCACACTACAGGGGCAGGTCTACAGCATCTTGTGTCCAGGAACTCTTCATCTAGTCACAAACTTCTCCACCATGTTGACACGATGGCAGCTACGCCACAGTCACATAGAAATGTGTTTCAATTCATCTTGACTGTCGTTTTTAGGTGTTTCGCTGCCCTTCGTTTACTTGTGTTTAGGAGAACATCAAAAGTCCTGCAGCAAAGTGACATCGTTTCTTTCTTCACAGAAAATAAAGCTCAGATATGAGAGGAGAGTGTACTTCGAGGTGTTCATCAGAAATGCAGACCGAGACTTTAATTTAAAGCTTAAAACAGAAAAGAAAAACGGCACAGAGGAGATTATCCGGATCTGCACCATTCGAAAGGGTCGGTGAAACATCGGACATCATGCTTGCCAGCTAGCATGTAGAGATTTAAGTTTGGTAGCGTGGTGACCTCGAATAACCCTCTTGTCCCTCATTTTAAGTGACTACAAATATCCAAACGGTGAACACATGCAAGGTAAAAAAACATAATTTGTTCTCAAGAGCCTCAAATACTTTAGCTCTCATCAGATCCTGAAAACAAAGTGTGTATGTGTGTATGAAGTCACGTTGATAATCTTTACCACAGGTCAGCACTTCTTGGATCTTCATCGAACGGCTTTGATCGACAGAGTGAAAGACACAGCGCACCTCCTGGATAGGCTCCTGGACATCAACTTGATCTCAAACGAGAAATATGATGCTATCAGGGCACGAACACAAGCAGAGCATGAGCAGATGAGGGACATTTTGAGGTGTGTGGATTCCTCTGGACAAGGAAAAGACAGCTTCCTTAAAATCCTTAAAGGGATGAAGAATCTGAAGCCTCTCCTATCAGAGCTCGAGGAAAGCCGAGAAGAAGACATGATTTAGCAGAGGAGGTGGATCCAGAACCTGAGCTAATATGAAACATCTGGAACAAAAGATTCAGCTGAAGGACAGTGTCTGAATCTTGATGCTTTAGTCCTTTTCTGTTGACTAACAGCTGGACTAGTTGGTTTGGTCCAAAGTGGATTTTGCTCTGGGAGAAGATCTAAAGTCCAAACCTGGGCCCAAACTGCAGCTGGAACCTAAAGCAGGAACACCGTTCTCTTTTTCAGGAACTGTTTGGTGCACTGTGATCATTTCTGGTAACACTTTATGATAAGGGTCCCTTTATTAACATTACTTAGTGCATTATCAAGCATTAATAAACTATTAAAGTATTAACAACTGCTTAACCCTGCTAAGCAGACCCCTACACCACCCCACCACCCTCTGTGCTAACCTTAAGGACACTTGATAAAGGGACCCTTATCATAAGGGGGGCAGCAGTAGCTCAACAGGTTGAGCGGGTTGTCCAGTAATCGTAAGGTTGCAGGTTCGATCCCGGCTCCGGACAGATAATACTGCTGTTGTGTCCTTGGGCAAGACACTTAACCCACCGCCCTGCTGGTGGTGGTCGGAGGGACCGGAGGCGTCTGTGCTCAGCAACCTCGCCTCTGTCAGTGCGCCCCAGGGCAGCTGTGGCTACATCGTAGCTCATCATCATCAGTGTGTGAATGAGTGTGTGAATGGATGAAAGATACACTGTAGTGTAAAGCGCTTTGGAGTTCTTACTCTGAGAGGTGCTATACAAGTGCGGGTCATTTATTATAACTTTTTATTTCTCTTTTGCTAAGCTCACACCATCCCTAGAGCTGTCATCCCAGCAAAACCATCCATACAGCACAATATCTCAATCCAAAATGACTTCCTATCTCTGGCTCCTTCAAAGGCAGTTTGAAATCTGGGTGTTGTGATTGATGAACACCTGACCTTTAAAGATCATGTTGCCTCTGTTGCTCGTTCATGCCGCTTTACGCTGTACAACATACGAAAGATCAGACCATACCTAACACAACATGCCACCCAGCTCCTGGTACAATCTACTGTCATCTCCTGCCTCGACTACTGCAATGCCCTTCTAACTGGTCTTCCAGGCTGTACTGTGGGACCTCTTCAAATGGTCCAGAACACAGCGGCGCGTCTGGTCTTCCACCAGCCAAAAAGAGCACACGTCACCCCTCTGTTCATTGAGCTCCACTGGCTACCGCTAGCCGCACGCATCAAATTCTAATTGCTAACACTAGCATACAAGATGGTACGGCTCCCATCTGCCTGAATCCTCTTGCAAAGGCTTACGTCTCGGCCCGGCCGCTCCGGTCATCACAGGATCGTCAGCTAGCAGTGCCTACACCACGCTCAGGACAATCCAGACTCTTCTCATGCATCGTTCCACAAATGTGGAATGACCTACCAAGCACTACCAGGACAGGGGCTTCCTTTTCAATTTTCAAGAAACTCATGAAGACCCTGCTCTTCAGAGAGCATCTTCTAAACTAGCACCCTCCCTGCACCCGTCCCCCTCTCTACTGTTCACTCCTTGTTCCCTCCTCTCCATGATTAATGTCAAGTTGTTGTTGTTATTGTTGTTGTTAGCCTCAAGGGCAACATGCCGATTATTACTTGTAAGTCGCTTTGGACAAAAGCATCTGCTAAATACATAAACATAAACATATTAAATATGAATTGAGCGTAGCTAGCATAAGTGTTCGACAACTGCTTACATACAGATGTCAACCACAGAGGGAGAGCGTGCGTTGAGGACGTTCTAATCTGTTGCCCGGCTAGAGGTTCATGGACAAGAGGCATTGCTTCCAGTCATAATCATAGAAGTAGGGAGGTGGGCTTAAGGTGTTATACAGTTTTCTGCCTCTAGATGGTGCTGCCCCATTCAGGGGTAGCATCTTCAGCATGGCATCCCCTTTTCCTGGACACCTCCACTAGCTCCTCCAGCAAGACCCCTAGCTGTTCCAGAGACAGACTGGAGATGTACTCGCTCCAACATGTCCTCGGTCGACCCAGAGGCTTCCTGCCGGCAGGACATGCCCAAAACACCACCCCAGGAAGGCATCCTAACAAGATGCCCGAACCACATCAACTGGTTCCTCCCAATGCAGAGGAGGAATTGCTCTACTCCGGGTCCCTCTCGAACGACCAAGCTCCTCACCCTCTCTCTATCGCGGAGTACCGGCCACCCTCCGGGGGAAACTCATTTCAGCCACTCGTATTCCCGAGCATGTTCTTTCGGCCATTACCCAAAGCTCGTGGCCATATAGGTGAAGTGGGGCATAGAGTGACCGGTAAACCGAGAGCCTCGCCTTCTGGCTCAGCTTCTTCTTCACGACAGATCGGTCTGCATCACTGCAGACGTTACCCTAGTCCGCTTGTCAATCTCACGCTCCCCTCTCACTTGTGAACAACACCCCAAGATACTTAAACTCCTCCATTCGAGCAAGGCCAGATTATAATACGGGCAAACTGGGCACAGGACCAGGGGCCCACAGCCACAAGGGGGCCCACGCAAGCAGCAGTCTTTTTATTTTTTTTGTGCAGCAGTCAACATTGGACAAACAAGTTAACAAGTAATAAAAATTGTGCCCACATTTTCTAAGTTAACACACATTTCTTTTAACAACTGTAGTTTCTGCATCTTTACTGTTCCCCTGCTGCTTCAGGCCCCTCCCCCTGCGCAGCGGCCGCAAACTCACTGATGCGCCTGCAGCCTCTCAAGAGTTCCTGCTGATCTAAACATTGAAAGAATAATTTCATTTTCTGTTCCTCACTTCTGATTATTTTCAGTGGTGTCTGTTTCTTGCAAACACCAGGTACAAAAATGAGTTTGTTTTTTATTTGACTATTTTTCTGTCCTGTATGTTTATTATCTTCCTGCATCTCCTCTCAATCCTAAAGACAAAAACTGCTACCTGGCTTCATATATATTCACCTCACGAGTTACCTTTGAACTGCAGTTAAAAATGATCTACTGACCACAAAAATTGCGGGAGTGCGTGCCGCACCGGTGAGGTGAATTCACCGGAGGACAAAACAGGATGCGCTCTACTCCACAGCAGTGAAACACATCAGGCTCAAACAAAAGGCAGAAAGCATGAAAGGATATGAGCCGACATGAACGATCGCGTGTTAACTGTGTTTTTGAGGTGGCGACACTTTGAGAATGTCACTGCGGCCGTGCTCAGGATGCAGCTGTCTGGAGCGCATCAACCATCAGCTCTGCGCTTAGGGGCCCTAAGCACATTGTGCCCAGAGGCCCCTGCAATGATAATCCGGCCCTGCATTTGAGGCAGGACCTCTCTCCCAACCCGGAGTTGGCAAGCCACCCTTTTCTGGTTGGGAACCATGGTCTCGGATTTGGGAGTGCTGATCCTCATCCCAGCCGCTTGGTGACCTTTGAGAGAAAACTCTGAATTTTTGCTTCAAAAGAGCCACGAGGATCCCTGCACAACATAATAAACTATAGCGAGACTGGACCACTTGTTCTGTTAGTTACACTAAATATTTTCTGTAGAGCATTGTGATCAAAAGCTTACATTTCTGAGCTAATAAATCATAAACGGTGCAATAATGCATCACTGTTGTGTAAATAATGTCTAGTACTTCATTCTGAACAGCTTCCACGAGAAAACAAGAGCTTTCTAGAGTGGATCGATCTAAATGAGCTTTCTCAGGTTTAAAAGATTTTTTTTATACGAGTATAAATTCATTAACTTATTAAAACAGTTAAATATTATGTCTGATTTGTATTCTTGTAGAAAAGCTGTTACAGAACAAAAGGCGGTTATATTTACTCTGAAACAACTCCACTACATGAAGGTGGGTGTGTGTACGGTTTTGAAGGAAACAGAAGAGATCAAGAGTTTTTAAAAAAGGTTGTTTTTATTTCTGCAACAGAACCAAAGAAACACCAAAACCGTGTTTACGCCACTGTCATCTGTTCGATTTTGTATTTTAACTAGTGGAATAATTAAATGAGAATCTTCTTTTATTTTTGCTTTAAAATAAACCTTTGAAGGTCAAATTTCACTACAGCTACGACTATTGGTTGATCTGAGCGATGAGTCCATCCAGTTCTGGACGCGACTTGAAGCGTGCGTGGAAATCTGCCTCTGTGTGCTGAGGAGAAAACAGACGCACAGTTTAACGTACAAACAAGACTGAACTATGCTGACAATTATGTTAATTTTTAGTGTAAATATTAAGTTTAACTTTAGATTTTGTACTTTTATGTCACCAATTTAAGCACGACCCACTTTAAATCCAAATGTGTCTTTTTGCATAAACTAATATTCTAGAGTTAAACATAACTGAAAACAAATAGCATAAAAATGTGTTGCTATAATTAAGTGACAAACTTTCTAAGGTTCGTCTTAGTTTTTAAATTTCCCCAGGTTTACTTTACCGTTTGGTCAAAAGCCCTCCCAAGATTTTCCTCATATTTCTTTAAAAGCTGCAATTGTGATTGTATGGAAGAGGACTAGGGCCACTGAGAAGAAAAAAAGTAAAGAAAGAGATCTGTTCTGAGAGTAAAGTCACAATTCTCTCTTCTCTTTTTTTCCTTTTCAGTGGCCCTAATCCTCTTCTGTATTATTGTGCAGCCATACGGAGCAAAAAACAAACATTGACCTCAGGGAGGTTAAAATCTAAAAAAATACCAGCTTTTGTCATTTTCAACCTCCTAAATCTGAACATTTGATCATTTTGACACTGATACAGGATAAGATCCGTCTCCATGGTAACTCACCTCCTTGACGGCCAGCTGGACTCCCTCTGGTTGGTTCTGTAAGAGAACCTCCATGAAGACGGGGCACAACGTGGCATCCAGACTGCTCAACTACAAACACGTTTACAAGGTGACGTCTACATTATTCATTTACATTTTACCATTATTCTACAGGAGCTGAGTCAAACCTGACAGGCGTTTACCTGGATGACTCGTTGGTGGGTCTTCAGGACTGCTTCGACGTACGATTTGGCTCCTTGATCCTGCACCAGCATCACCTCGGTGGTCTTGGTTGGTAAAGCGTAGCTTCAAGTAGAAAATTATTATTATTAAAACAATGTCTTTGTTTTACAATTCAATCATTTATTACCTTTTAATAACACATTTATATCTGACACAGGTTACAGGACTATACAATAACCTCTTAAAACACTAAACATGTATTTTCTGCCCCCTGCTGTACAATTTGACTACTGCAGGACATGTTTCAGTAAATTTGCACATGAACAGTACTTTGAGAAGAACTAAAAGTTTGACTTAAACTCCTCTAATGTTCAAAGTTATTTTTTTCAGCATTGAAATTTATACAGCATACTTCAGGAACCATGTGATTGGCTGGATGTTTGATTTAACGTAAAATTGATTGCTCATGTCTGTCAGGCACTAAGAACACACTTATTAAAGGTTGACTATGGAACATGGACACTCTGGTGGACTCTGGTGTTCAGAGGTGGTATTGCAACAACAGGACTAATTTTCCAGTCGCTGGGATGTTGGTTCACTGCTGACACATTCCAGCACCATGCTCAGTGACAAATCGTACAGGATAAGGACTCATTTCTACTAATAAGTTTAGTTTACAACATTATTTACAGTTATAACATCTTCTGAGCTCAGAATCAGCTGCTTGACTTATTTGGTACGTTCTTACTGTGTCTAGTTTCTAATTCCACGCCAACTCAACACACGAACAATAGAACACAGAAAGGAGTGTGAGAAAAAAACAAGTCGAAAACACGCAAGAGCAGCAAAACAAGAAGCAGAAAGTACAATAAAGAAGTCAGCCGTAACAGATCACTGCACGAGAGAAAACCGTATAATGGACTGGGACAACACAAGGATCATAAACAGCGAACAACAAAAATACAAAAGATGGATAAAAGAAGCTATCGAGATAAGGAGACGTGGATGTGAGACCATGAACAGAGAAGATGGAGTTTACTCATTGGATCGCGCATGGGACTGCATCATTGGAGAGGGGAGAGCGGGCAGCAGAGGGCGACAACGTCCTCTGCTGCCTGCGGATAAATGGAGTAGGAAGTGACGCCACCATCAGTGTCAGCCTGAGGATGTTTTGCAGTCGGCAAACGAAACGTTAGCAAGGTAAAGAGAAACCTTTCCTGTGTTTTAAAAAGAACCAAAAATGGAATTAGCTGCTCGACTTGTCAAATCTGCCATTTTACACAGTCCCAGCTAGGGATGTCCCAATACAACTTTTTTCACTTCTGATTCGATACCGATATTGCAGCCTTCAGGAATGACCGATACCAATATCAATATTGCAACGGGACATCCCTAGTCCCAACCTGGCCTTGCTGAGCAGACTTTTAGCACAACAGTGCCCTCTAGCGGCTGATGTAAACAGAAACACAGTGTCGTGCCAGACAGAATAAACATTTGATTTGTCTTTTTAAATATAGCTTTTAAAGGAGAAATTGTAAATTCATCCTGCACAGTTTACTGCACCAGTAAACTACAGGACTGGTTTCAAATTATTTTTACTAGTTTATAGATCACTCAGTGACATGGGGCCAGAATACATATCGGATCTCCTTCCTGTAAATACACCCAGCAGGGCTCTGACATCCTTAGGAAGCAGTCAGCTGGTAGAACCTCGGGTCAGAACCAATCAGGGTGAAGCTGCTTTTAGCTACTATACTGCTCACAGATGGAATTGCTTCCTTACTACCTAAAATGTGCCCAAACTCTAGAAACTTTTAAATCAAAATTGAAAACCTTCATGTTTTTATCAGCCAATAAATGTTCTGCACTATAACTGCTCCACCCTTTAACTTTGTCCTTTGCTTTTTAAATCAAAACGTATGTGTACTTTCTGTCATGTTGATTTTAATGTTCTTGCTAAATGGAAAGCACACTGAATTACTTTTGTGCATCAAATGTGCTATTTAAATAAAGCTGCCTTGTCTTGCCTTGATATTCGGACAACTGGCCTCTGATTGGCTAACAGCAACATGACTCTACCACTGACTGTTTGCTCTGCAACATTGATGATTAAAAGAAACACAAGCCTGAAGGAATTCTGCTGTGTGGTGGAGTAGCTAACGCTAATGGTTAGCTTCAGCTTGCCAAGACGTGCTCTGCTAAGATAAGACTGAGATCCTCATCTGTGCCCCAGACAAGCTGGTTCCCAAAGTCAGAGACTCTCTTGGTCAGCTTGCTTCTCACACCAAACCCTCTGTCAGGAATCTTGGCGTGACCTTTGACCCAGCTCTCACCCTGGATTCTCATGTCAGTTCTCTTGTTCGCTCTTCCTTCTTCCATCTCAGGAACATTGCTAAGCTGATTCCCATTCTGTCCCGCTCTGAACTTGAGACAGTTCTCCACACCTTCATCTCCTCACGCTTAGACTACTGTAACTCTCTTTTCACGTGTCTGAGCAGAACCTCCCTGAACCGTCTACAGGTGGTTCAGAATGCCTGTGCTCGGCTTCTGACCAAGTCCTCCAAACACACCCACATCACCCCGCTTCTCCTCCAGCTTCACTGGCTGCCAGTCAACTTCAGGGTTCATTTCAAGATCCTGGTTCTGGTCTATAGGGCCTTACATGGACAAGCACCATCTTACATTGGTGATCTTCTTAGTCCCTACACCCCCAGCAGGTCCCTGAGGTCCAGTGATCAAAGCCTACTGGTTGTGCAGCACCAGGCTAAAGACCAAAGATGACAGATCATTTGCTGCTGTGGCCCCCAGACTCTGGAACTCACTCCCCCTGAGCCTGAGATCAGTGGACTCAGTGGTCTCCTTTAAAAAAGCAGCTGAAGACTCACCTGTTCAAGCTGGCTTTGGTGTGACCTTCATCACCCTGTCCTTGTTCTGCTATTCCACCTTTCCCGGGATCCACTGATTTCCCTCTTTCCTAATTTTCTGTCTCCCGTTTCTTACATATTTCAATCACAATTTTAATTTTTTGTCATTTTAAACATATTAAAAAAAATCTTTTCATATTTTAAATTTTTGTGAAGCGCCTCGTGATTTTCATCTTGAGAGGCGCTATAGAAACGATTGTTTTCTTTCTTCACCATTTCCTGGACACTAAACCAACAACAGCCTCCCTGCCACAAGTCAAGATGGGTGAGTCCATGAATGTTAAGTGTGGGGTTGTGCTGATTCACCATTTAATCAGTGCATTGCTATGGGACACATGCAATTTAAAACCAATTTGTAAACATTCATAAACAATTATAAATAAATCCTGAAAAAACAGCCACAAAGCATGAGAGGACCATTAAAGCTACGCACGGGAGATTGTTTACTAGCTTAAGCCACTGAGCATGAGAGCTACTCGTCAGTGGGATTAAACCATGCTGGCTTAACTATAACACCTTTCATTCCTCACCTTTCAGACACTTTGACACCCAGCCGGTTGCAGAGGTTGTGGATGTACTGAGAATAATGCTCCACTGCCGTCATGTCATAACCCGACACTGTCACGTTCAGCGTCCCGTATGTCGTGTTTGTAGCCAGAACAATCGGCTTCATCTGCAGTTTGTCCCTCTTCTTCTTGGGCTGAAAAACAAACACACTAAACATCACACAAGTGACTAGTACCAAGAAGTCCAGGACACGTTTTGTGCATGTTCTATTCCCTCGTTTCCCCCCCACTGATGATTTAAACACTTACGGCCTCTTTGGGTAAAAGAAACTTCCACCTCCCGATCCCGTGTGTCGCTCTGCTTCTATATAGCCTCTTATTAACAGAAGTCGTGCCTGAAGGGAACGATAAGCAGCTTTAGACGCTCTGAAGCATCCCATCATCAACAACGCAACCAGGATGATGAGGTTAAAATGTTTGTGTCTGAAAAGTCATCTACTTACAGCAGACAGGATGCTGGATGGAAGGCATGACTCTGTAAAAGATTAGGGACAAAACATTTAATAATGACATACACGATCATCATCACAATTATTGTGGTTGGTAGAGAAAGGATACAGGTAAGGAAATGATCATTTAACACTAGAACTCCCAGAGAGCCGCCAACTGGCACCGTTGTTTTCACCTAGCATTCTTAATCACTTGTGTTTGGAAGGAACCAGCTACTAGATGGCTTGATTAGTCTTTCGCCCCTATACCCAGGTCAGACGACCGATTTGCACGTCAGGACCGCTACGGGCCTCCACCAGAGTTTCCTCTGGCTTCGCCCTGCCCAGGCATAGTTCACCATCTTTCGGGTCCTATCGCACGCGCTCTAGCTGCGTTCGCCTTTGTTTTGTAAATCACTTCAGGAGATGCTGGTGCTCCCCTCACCTCCCAGTCGGGTAAAGATAGCCTGGCAAGCCAGACTAAATAAATGTATTATTTATTCTGGCAAAGCTCCACTGACGGCTCTCGGTTGTGGGGCGGGTTCTACCGTTGTCTTTCAAATGATCTCCGCATTCCACTGGACAAAGAATGTGACATACTCTTGTTTCACTCTGTTGCATCATCCCACCCTCCAGGCATATAGAGTGCCCTGATTGGCCCACAAAGCGGATAAAGCTCTGTGATTTGTTCACTAAGCAGATAGAGCACTATGATTGGCCCACCATTATGGACCAATCACAGCTCTTTATGTGTTTGAAACCCCTCTAGAGAGCTGTGATTGGCTAGCCAGAATGCTGTTAGGGGCTGCAGAGGTTCCAGTGGAGCATTCCTAGTAGTGATGGGAATTCTGCCTCTTTTTAGAGCCGGTTCTTTTGGCTCAGCTCACCAGAAAGAGCCGTCTCTTTCGGCTCCCAAGTGGCTCCTCAGATTTTCTGTTGCGTAGAGTACATTTATAACCAAAATAATGCCAAACTATATGTAAAATGATTTACTAATGTAAAAAATGCAATATATCAAATATTTATCATTTCTATGGATTTAGTAACTGAACATTTTAAGAAATCTCCACTTTCCGACTGCTGGCGCTCATTTTCTCACCGTCTTCGTCGCACTCTCCTCTCTCGCTCGCCTTTTTCCTCCTCCTCATTCCCTCTCTTCTCCCTCCACCCACATGTGCTCTGCTGTGTGTCTGAGTCTGATCCTCCCTCTTCCCCACCCCTACTGCTCAGTGTGTGGACAGTCTGGACACGCAGTTACACATGTTGACCAATCGCCTGTAGCTTTCACCAAAGCAAGAGGGGAGGGAGGAGGGGAGGGGAGGGGACGGCTTCCAATGACGAGCCGGCTCCTGTCGTTCACGTCAAAGGTTCGTTCGTGACCGACACATCACTAATCAGGCAAGACATCACTCCACTAACCACATCACTAATTCCTAGACCAAACTTTGCAAAGCAAGAATTTGGTCTAGTTCACTAGGCTAAGGTAAAGAGGCAGCTAGAGAAAACCAGAGACACAAGACTACTCAACAAGAGTGTCTTCAGTCAGAGTCTACATGAAGGACATAATGACAGAGCATACAGGCATCCGTAAAACGTGACTTTTTTTTATATTACTGTGTTTGTAGCCTTTATAGCTTAGGTTGCATTCACAACTTGTGTGCTAATCTGAAGTCTTCACAAAGTCAGTCATAAATTATTTTGGGTGGATAAGTTCAGTTGACCAGATTCAACAGAAGCCCTTTTTACAAAAGGGCCGCAAAATGCTCGGGCAATCCAAGAAAGCATTATGGTTTTATTAGAACAACAAACCTTCAAATGCACAAGCCTTTTGTGAATGTTTTCTATTGCAACTCAAACATTTTTGGGGGAATAATGCAGGTTAACTGCAACGCAGGCTTCGATTGTCCAGGTTCCAAAAGAAGGTTCATAACAGCTGTGAGGAAGCTGCTTCTCAGGTGTTGAAAACAAGCCAGACTCTTGAAAAGGCTTCAGGTGATCAGCTAAATCTGAATAGAATTTATTTTTCAATTCAATTCAATTCAATTCAAAAATACTTTATTAATCCCAGAGGGAAATTGATTAATTTTCAGGCTACCTGGCTGCACTTGCATGTAAAAAGAAACTGTGACGTGATCTGTTCTCCGTCTCTGCTGAAGCCACGCTCCTTGAGTGTTTTAGACAAACCCTCAACGAGGTGGCTGTCCGTCACAGTTCCTGAGAATTGTATGGCTACTTCTGCCTCTGCTCGTAAAGACAGAAATTCACACATCTCGTTGTCACTCCAATTAACCATGTCCGCTGGCTGTTTACCAACTTTCCCATTATTTACGTGGTTTATATACTCTTTCCGGTCGGGGGTCGCTCGCCGCACATTTGCGATGTCATTTGATATCTTCCTCTGTTGTGCCAAGGTGTGATTGCTGTTTATAGGACAGACAATTACTGCAATACTATAACCAAGCGAGGCGCAACAAATGCAGCAAAATTCACACAACGCCACGCCAGCATGGCGTGTTTATAAAACCCACTGTTGCGGTAATGTTACGCTGATTTGCCGGCACAGTGTGTCGTGTAAAAAGGGCTTGTGAGTCATTTTCTACCAGGGCTAAAGAGGCAAACAAAATGAGACCAAACTAAATGACTGAGAATTTTCAAGGTCCCGAACATTCCTCCACATTCCAAAGGGACTGTCAGTGATTTTCAAACCAAGGAGCCATTTGGCTACCTCTGGTAGAGCTAAGGGAGTCAGAAAATCCTGGTAGTTCTAGTGTTAAGGAGACTGTAGATACTGATTTAGACCAGCAGGTGGCAGAGTTAAGCTGTTTAAGTGATTAAACAGTAAGAATTATGACAAGAAATGTATTTCTATCACACCACAATGAAAATAACAATGCATCAAAATAAATATACATACAGACCTTTTTAGGGTGCGATATTTGTTTAAACACACTGCAGGCACAAAATAATTAAACTTCTAACTAATCAAAAAAACAGACAACAAGGATGACCAGCTCTGCTGTAAAAGCAGAGAAGAGCTGCTACATGCCTAAGAAGGAAGTCGTGTGCAAAATGCTGACATGTTTGGAAAAGGATGGAAAACTCCTGCTGTGTGTCACTGGATAGTGTGAGTGTGTGTGAGTGTGTTTTTTTTTTTTTGGGGGGGGGGGGGGGGTACTGAAAAATAACTGTAGTGTACTTTTTCAGCAATTATGTGTTTAAGACTCACCTGCATGATGTCAGAGCTTGACTCAGCACAAACACCTGCTGTGTGACAGACGCCTGCAGCTGGACGACAGAATAACAATGTTTGTTACTAATACTCTGTGTGTGTGTGTGTGTGTGTGTGTGTGTGTGTGTGTGTGTGTGTGTGTGTGTGTGTGTTGTGGTTCTAGGGGATCTAGGAGATGAATAACTCTGCGACGCTGACCTTAGCTCTTTTGTTTTGAAAACTGCTTTATTCTGAAGTTCTGCTGACATGTCCCCTGTTCCTGAAGTTAAACGTGTTAAATGAAGAAGCCAGCAAAGCCATGGCGACCAGAGAAAAAAGGGTCAGTGAAGAAATGATCTCACCCCTGGGAAATGATTGTGTTCCTTCACTTGTAACATCGTTTCACATCATTCTGTGGATCTTAAATCAAAATGATTAGACTAAATTTGAGTTATTGGCAAACACCGTATAGATAAAAGAAAAGCGTATCGTGATGAAACTAGTGATTTACACCAGTAGCGTACCATGAAACAACAGACGTTGTAATTTTGTATTCTAATATATTTTGTAATCACTCACAATATTAAAGTAATCAGGAGAGGGTGGCAAACTGCTGGTTACCAAAGCTGTTTCCAAAACGTTAAAGGTTTTCTTGTGTGAAGAATTTCCAAATATGCATAGTTTATAAATAAATGAAAACAGTGTTTTCACAGGTCTGCTAATTCCACTTTAAAACCCAACGTGGCTTCAGACACTGGGTCCTTACATCTGAGCCTAAATCCATTTCAAGCACCTGAGTTGAGTTTTCACGCTTCAGGCCAACTTTAAATAAAAATGCTGCATTTGTCACTGAACATTAAATGGTTAGATAATAACACGTTTGTTGAATAATGTTAGTAAACGTGTGTATATCTAAATGATATATTATCAGTAGCTAAGCTACAGCCTTCTCAGTTATGACCTCTGACAGGTTTAACCGGAAATAACCAAATGTAGCCTTACCTTCCGGAAAAAGCAGTTCATATTCTTTTTGGTGATATCTAGGGCGCAAAGTGTGAGTCACTACTTCTGAACGAAACGACCTAAAACAAATAACATCTAAACACACGCGCCACAGATTGTCCTATTCAAACCGGACGTGAACACAGGATGCTAGAGCGGCGACTAAAAGGTCCGTAGACTGCACTCACTCAAAACAGCGTTCCGCCTTTGTGGCAACTAGAAGCAGATGTTATTTGGACATAATAATAAAGCTGACATGTCCAGAAAGAAAGTAAAAATAAAGAAAAATAAAGAAAAAAAAAGACATTTCAAGGGTAGCAAAGAAAATTTGCTCCTAAACTCCAAAGTTTGTTTAGACTATTACCAGAGAAAGTGGTTAAACATTTTACAAAATCAACAATTTTTAGATACAGTAGTTCACAGCAATATTTTCAACCATGCAAGCATAAAAACACACCCAGAACCCCAATTAAAATAGCTCAGGATTTAATCTGGTTCAGGAACACAACAGGGATTTCTTCCTTCTGCCATTTGTTACATTTTACTTTTGTCCTCAACTAATATTCCCCCCACACACACACACATTTTGAAATTATCTCAACACTTCACTGCCTCCCCCTGAGTTGCACTAACATAAGGTAGAAACATTAATGGAAGTATGGTTCTGATCATTCTAGAAATGTGAACATTTGGCTTTAAACGTTTAAATAAACATTTTTTGGTAACTTTGGTCAGACAAAAACTTGGCAATTTTGTTAAATCATTAAACTTTATTAATCTTGTAAAGCAAAATAAAACAATACCGTTATAGCAATGTTTATCTCAAAAGTGTCAAAGGTCTAATTCTTTGTAAACATCCAACGCACTTTAATAAGCAGCCGTTTTTCTTCTTTTGACCTCATCAAGTCATTCATTAAATCAATTATTTTAACATTCAAGCACAACAGAACAAATTTGTAATAAGGTGCAAGATTCCCACACACCTTCGAACAATAAATAAATGGTGCATAGGAATATCTTTAGCTGATGCATTCACTGCCTTAAAGCTCAACAATGAGAAGCAAAGTCATTTTCCGCACTATAAACTTGTAATTGCAGCTTCTTGTTCCAAACATCATGCCGAGTAGAAAACCAGATTTGTCTCAACTCAAGTCTGTCTTTGGCTCCTAATGTTTAAGCAAGAAGCAACAAAAACTGGTCATGTTCTTCCTGGCCCTTTTGCTTCATGTCCTCTCCGAGGAGAAACCATGACAAACAAAGCTCAAGAGGACTCGTCTTAACGTCGTCTGTGACTACGGTAAACTTGGATTAAAATCTTTAACGCAGTGCTCATGGCTGAGCTTTGGGTATTTAGGTACATTTAACATTTTATCAAAGTGGTTGAAAAATTAAGCCAACATGCAAAATTTGGTCAACAATTTTGGCCAAATTTCTGTTGTGAAACATTCAAACTGTATCATTCTACAGGAAGCAAAAGTCTTCTCCAGATGTGAAGCACTTAGATGACATTCAGCAGGTTCAGTGAGATTCAGATGTAACAGTTCCGAGGGCCCCTTTGGATCTGAGGCGTTATCCGTAAACACATTCAGGGAGATGTTTGAGTCTGAAACATCTGCTGCACCTGGTAGCTAGGTAGAAAAATATATATTTATACAAATAACTGCCTCAGTTATACTCCACGCTCTTCCTCATCTTCCTCCTCCTCTTCCTCCTCCTCCACAATTTCCCCTTCTTCTACTTCTCTTTCTCCTTCTTCTTCTTCCTCCTCCTCCTCCTCCTCCTCCTCCTCCCATGTGCGGTCATCAGCCTGATTATGCATCTCCTCCTCCTCCTCCTCCTCGCCTTCACTCCTCATTTCCTCCTCGCTGCTGTCATCAAGATCATCATCATCATCATCATCGTCGTCATCGTCCTCAGGAGCCTGCTCCTCGTAGTCCTCCTGTTCCTCCTCTTCCTCAGGATCAGATAAATTACCTGAAGGGCAATAAATCATTTGAAATACTTTATTAAAGCGAGTCGTCTCACAGGTTTGGGTTTTTAGTCAGTCAGCAAAGCATCCACCCCCACTAACTGCTGTTTTACCAGAAGAACCAGAGCACTCACACAAGGAGTTAATGGCAGCAACTATGTGATGCGGGAAATCATCCAGTAATTTCACCATCTCCTCTTCCATCCTGGCTCCCAGGATATCCGTCTCCATTTCTACGTACTCTGGGTAGAACATGTTTTTTCTTAGCTGCCTGCGACATCTTTAAGAAAAGAGAAGAAAAGTAACGTTTTTGCAAAATTATGCAAATCAAAAATGGGTTTTAACTGTTACTAAGTGACCTCTGGACAACTTTGGAAGAAGCATGATATCACAACAGTGTTTATTTTCTCACTGTGTCTAATTTTATTTCTAGGTCAGTGACGACTGCCTTCTCATTAAGGGCTAACAAAGACATAACGGTGGTTAACTGAACCCGTCTCACTAGGTTTTCTTTTCTTTGATGTTTAGAAAATTCAACATCAACCAGGTCCGGATGTTACCCAAATAATCAAGAAGAGACTGAATAGGGTGCATCGATCTCTGCCGCAGTGGGAAATTCACCAGACAATCATCCACACGCAGCTGGAATGGAGCGTCAGATTTGTGAGAGATTGACTAAAGGCGGTGGGTGGACAGTAAACTGCTGGTGGTGGTCGGAGGGACCGGTGGCGCCAGTGTACGGCAGCCTCACCTCAGTCAGTGCGCACCAGGTCAGCTGTGGCTACGATGTAACACACCCCCACCAGGGTGTGAATGTGTGTGTGAACGGGTAAATGCGTTGTAAAGCGCCTCGGGGGGTTCCAGGACTCTAGAAGGCACTATATCAAATACAGGCCAAAAAAACAACAAAAAAAACAGAAGTGGGCTAAGAACGAAGCCCTGTGTTACCCCCATCTAAGTTTTATGCAGGAGGATGAGCAATCCCCTATCTCACACAGTGCCAAGCCTACCTTGGAAGGTTGCCCCACACCATTAAGTCAAATCTCATGACCTACCATTTGAAAAGTCTCACAGTACTAAACAGCTTCACCACAGACGAGCCTCACATGGGTTTGCAAATGACATATTTCAGCTACCAGATTTGAAGTTGAAGTCATCACAGACAAAAGGAAGTCTGTGGTCCATCCGTTTTTAGCTGCTCATCTGAAATCGGGTCGTGGGGGCAGTAGCCTAAGCAGAGAGGCCCAGACTTCCCTCTCCCCAGCCACTTGGACCAGCTCCTCTGTGGAATCCTAAGGTGTTCCCTGGACAGCTTAGAGACAGAATCCATTCAGCATGTCCTGGGTCTTCCTTTGGGTCTCCTCCCAGTTGGACGTGCCCAGAAAACCTCAGCAAGAAGGAGTCCTGACCAGAAGCCTGAGCCACCTCAACTGGCTTTGGGGCAGCAGTAGCTCAGGTGGTAGAGCCTATGTTGTTCATGGGTTTGATTCCAGCTCCCGCCGGGGGTATCCTGCCATTGTGTCCTTGGGCAAGACACTTCACCCAACTTGCCTGTGTTAGTGGTGGTCAGAAGGGCCGACGGCGCCAAATGGCAGCCTCGCCTCTGTCAGACCTCCCCAGGGCTGCTGTGGCTACAAGTAGCTTTCCATCACTAGCAGTGTGTGAATGTGAGTGTGTGTGAAAACGTCTTTGGGTGTCTAGAAAAGTGCTATATAAGTTCAATGCATCATCATCATCATCATGATGAGGAGCTGCAGGCCTACTCCGGGCCTCTCCTGGATGACAGAGTTCCTCACATTATCTCTAAGAGAGAGCCCAGCCACCCTGCAGAGATGTCATTCTGGCCGCCTGTATCCGTGATGTCATTCTTTCGGTCACTACCCAAACCTTGTGACCATAGGTGAGGGTAGGAACATAGATCGACCGGTAAATCGAGAGCTTTTCCTTCTGGCTCAGGTCTCTATTCACCATGAGAGATCAGTATAACGCCCACATCACTGCATATGCAGCACCAATCCGCCTATCAATGTCACGCTCCATCTTTCTCTTACTCGTGAACAGGACCCCGAGATACTTAAACTCCTCCACTTGGGGCAGGACCTCATCCCTGACCTGGAGAAGGTATACTACCCTTTTCCAACTCAAAACCATGGTCTCTGATTTAGAGGAGCGGATTCTCACAGGCCTCCTAAGGCACAGTCGAACACCTTCTCCAAATCCACAAAACTCATGTAGAATGGCTGGGTGAACTCCCATTCACTCTCCAATACCCCCCTAAGGGTAAAGAGCTGGTCCAGTGTTCCACAGCTAGAAGTAGACGATCTTTTATATAGCGCCTCTGAAGATAAAAATCACGAGGCACTTCACAAAAACATATTAAAGAATAAAAATATTTCAAAAATGATTTAAAATATGTTTAAAAGGAGAAAGGAAAAAATTGTGCGGAAATGGAGAAAGAAAATGAGTAGGAAAGAGGGAAATCAGTGGATCCTGAGGAAGGTGGATGAGGTAGGGAGAGCAAAATAAGGACAGGGTGATGAAGGTCACACCAAAACCAGACTGAACAAGTGAGTTTTCAGCTGCTTTTTCAAGGAGACCATTGAGTCCACTGATCTCAGGCTCAGGGGGAGAGAGTTCCAGAGTCTGGGGGCCACAGCAGCAAATGATCTGTCATCTTTGGTCTTTAGCCTGGTGCGTTGCACAACCAGTAGGCTTTGATCACTGGACCTCAGGGACCTGCTGGGGGTGTAGGGACTAAGAAGATCACCAATGTAAGATGGTGCTTGTCCATGTAAGGCCCTATAGACCAGAACCAGGATCTTGAAATGAACCCTGAAGTTGACTGGCAGCCAGTGAAGCAGGAGAAGCGGGGTGATGTGGGTGTGTTTGGAGGACTTGGTCAGAAGCCGAGCACAGGCATTCTGAACCACCTGTAGACGGTTCAGGGAGGTTCTGCTCAGACACGTGAAAAGAGAGTTACAGTAGTCTAAGCGTGAGGAGATGAAGGTGTGGATAACAGTCTCAAGTTCAGAGCGAGACAGAATGGGACTCAGCTTAGCAACGTTCCTGAGATGGAAGAAGGAAGAGCGAACAAGAGAACTGACATGAGAATCCAGGGTGAGAGCTGGGCCAAAGGTCACACCAAGATTCCTGACAGAGGGTTTGGTGTGAGAAGCAAGCTGACCAAGAGAGTCTCTGACTTTGGGAACCAGCTTGTCTGGGGCACAGATGAGGATCTCAGTCTTATCTTCATTCAATTGTAGAAAGCTCCCAGCCATCCAGGTTTTAATACAGTCTAAGCAGGTGTGTAAAACAGCTGCGACTTAGAGATCTCATGGGGCAATCCGTCAAACCCTCCTCTCCTCTCCAGAACCACTCATTAGTCCTTACCAGGGAAGCTCAGGAGTGTGATCCCCTGTAGTTGGAACACATCCTGCAGCCTTTTTTTAAATAGACAGACCACTACCCCGGTCTGCCAATCCAGTGGACTGCCCGCGATTTACACGCAATATTGCAGGGCCGTGTCAGCCAACACAGCCCTACAACATCCAGAGCCTTAAGGAACTCTGGGCAGATCTCATCCACCCCCAGAGTCTTGTCATCTTAGAGCTTTTTGACCACCTCAGTGACCTCATCACCAAAGATTGGAGAGCCCAACCCAAAGTCCCCGGACTCTACATTCTCACTGGAAGACGTGCCGGTGGGATTGAGGAGGTCTTCAAAGTACTCCGCCCACTGATCCACAATGTCCCGAGTCGAGGTCAGGAGCACACTGTCGCCACAAATAGACGGTGTTGGTAGTGTACTGCTTTCCCCTCCTGACGCACCAGATAGTGGACCAGAATCTCCTTGAAGCCATACTAAAGTCTTGCTCCATGGTCTCACCGAACTCCTCCAATGCCTGGGTTTTTGCCACTGTGACCACCCGAGCTGCGTTCCCCTTGGCCTGTCGGTACCTATCAGCTGTCTCTGAAGTCCCACAGGCGGGTTCGGGATTGCCACCATGACAGGCACCGAAGACCCTGCAGCTGCAGCTCACGTCGGCCGCCTCAACAATGGAAGCACGGAACATGGCCCACTCGGACTCAATGAACCCTGCCTCCCCCAGAACACTTGGGAAGTTCTGTTGGAGGTGGGAATTGCAACTTCTTAAGACAGAAGACTCTGCCAGATGTTCCCAGCAGACCCTCATAATACGTTTGGGCCTGCCTGATCTGACTGGCATCCTCACCCACCAACGAAGCCAACTCAACACCAGGTAGTGCTCAGTTAAAGACACGAGGCCGCAGGTCAGATGAAATGACAACTAAGTCGATCATAGAGCTGCGGCCTAAGGTGTCCTGGTGCCAAGAGCAGACAGTGTTTCCCCTACAGCGCCACACTCAATAGCTGTTTTTTAAGATTGCAGTGATACACTTTGGTCTTGCCATTCTCAGATTAACTCTTAGCTTATACGTCCTGTAGGATGTAAACACCATACCTCCAAACAGAAGCAAGATGGCAATTATAGCTTTGACACAAAAACACATTTCACAACAACTGAAATACTCATTTAAGTTGCCAAGAGAAAAAGATCTCACTGTCTCAGTTTTCATTACCAATATAAAACCAACAATCAGAAAAACTAGCAAATGCTTTGGCCTAATTTAATATGTCAGAAGCAAAGGCTCTGCCTACTATTTACAGTTTTGTCTTTTTGTAAATAAAAGACAAAAAAGATTAATGACAAAAGATAAAATTATAAACCAATCACCAAAGAGAACAGATACATTTTAAAGGTGATACATACTGTTTTCCTGTTGTCCCGTATGCCTGAAAACAACAAACAACATAGACTTAAAAGTAATATAAAAGTTTTTAAATCTATTCAGATCATTTGTGATTTATTTTAGTTACTTCCAGGTAACTTTAAACTCAAGGCCCTGCAGCAGTTGGAAACCACATCTCACCTCCAAGAAGCGAAACGGGTCACTCTCCTGCATCAGGCTCTCAATGTCACAGCGGACCCCCTGCAGACGGGTCTGATCCTGACTGATCCTGGAGATGTTGGTCTGAATGGCCAAGCCGCTGGTTTCACACTGGGTGCGGGTGAATTCCCTCAGTGTAACAATGAAGCGCTGAACTTTGGCCTTAAGCACGTCGTCTAGATTGGTCAGAACCAGCTCAGCTACCTCCTTGAACCTCTGGAGGCAAAACCCACGGGAACGAAAAGTAAAGAAGTTAGCTACAGCTAATTTAATTAGTTAACAGCACAATATATAATAAAGTATCATCTTTGTTAATATTGAGATGTTATTTTACGAAATATGAGTTATTTTTGTGAGCCACACCTTTAACCCTGAAATAAGACACTTGGATTCGATCCTCCACCCAAGTGAATTCCACAATAGTATAAAGTTGCAGACCTGGAGATTGCAGATTCACGCTTGCTACTGATTCATGCCAACATGCACTCAACGATTGCTGAAATAGTCACTTTAAAATACGGTCCATCCATCTTCTTCATCTTATCTGGGACAGCAGCCTAGCAGAAGCCCAGACTTCCTTCTCCCAAGCCACCTGCGCCAGGTGCTCCAGAGGACATTGCACCTTTAAGTGGAATTCTGCCTATTTCCTTATACCCCAGAGTTAGATAAGTGAGAAAAAGGCATTTGTAACCAGTACAGTAATCCTCCTCATCTGGCAGAAGGCTGTCAGCTTTAGCTTAGCATAAACAACGGAAGTGAATAGCAGAAACTAGTATTTTGTGTGGAACAGTGATTAAAATGATTCATTGATACCAATTTTTCCAGGTGAGCTCAACGATCATGTCACTTGCAGATGAAAAATAAGAAGTAACACGAAGGATTTCCAGGGGCCTATTTAGACTTGGGACTACAAAGCATTGCTGTAGTCCACCGCTGCATGGATATAACATAGCGGTCACAAAAACCACCGGCAGATTAAAAAAACGACAGTCCCATCGATTTTTTTAAGAACCAATAGGAAGTGCACTTCCTATTACTTCTAAGTACTTCTTACTTTTCAGTTGTAGTCGACATGATTATTGAGCTCAACAGGAATAATTGGTATCATTATTTAGTCATTTTAATCACAAAGTTGGGGTGCAGCAGCCTGGAAGGAGTGATCACCCCGACTTTTATATCTGGTCTTTGGAACTTCTAGAAGGCTCTGGTGTGTGGACTTGAGGGTTCTGGTTGGAGCATAAGGCTTTAACAGTTCAGTATATAATATAGGGAGGAGCTTGACCATGTAGAGCCCTGAAAGTTATAGTCAGGATCCCAAAGTTAATGGGTAACCAGTGCAGAGACATTAGAAGGGGTAACCCAATAAATTATAGACCAATATAGTCAAATACAGGCCCGGGCCTACGGTATGTGAGCATCGCTAAACACTAATGATCTATTCGAGGAATTTCAGTCAGGTTTTAGTTTCACAGCACTGAAACTGCGTTAGTGAGAGTTACAAATGATATTCTCATGGCCTCAGATAAGAATCTTGTGTCTGTTCTAGTCTTGTTAGATCTCAGTTCTGCCTTTGACACAGTTGATCACAATGTTCTTTTAGAAAGACTTGAACATTTTGTAGGGATCAAAGGAACAGTGCTAGGCTGGTTTAGATCCTACCTGTCTGACAGATTTCATTTTGTACATGACAAATCTTCATACTCCAGGGTTACTTGTGGAGTACCACAGGGTTCAGTGCTTGGACCAATTCTTTTTAATTTATATATGCTACCAATTGGTAAAATCATTAGACAGCATGGGATAAACTTCCACTGTTATGCTGACGATACTCAGTTATATTTATCCATTAACCCTGATGAACCTAATCGGTTGGGTAGATTACAGGCTCATCTTGAAGACATAAAAAATTGGTTGACTCAAAACTTTCTGGTTTTAAATCAAGACAAGTCGGAAGTTCTCATCTTTGGACCAGAAATCCAGAAAAGGAAATTGCTTAGTCAATCACCTGACCTGAATGTCATTACATTAATCTCAGAGAACAAAGTAAGGAACCTTGGTGTTACCTCTGACCAGGACATGTCATTCAAATCCCAGGTTTCACAAGTTTGTCGGATTTCCTTTTTCCACCTTCGGAATATCGCTAAGATTAGAAGCATCCTTTCCAGGAGTGATGCTGAAAAACTAGTTCATGCATTTATTACATCAAGACTGGATTACTGTAATTCATTACTCTCAGGAAGTCCACAGAATGTAGTTAAAAGTCTTCAGCTTGTCCAAAATGCTGCAGCTAGAGTTCTGACGAGAATTAAAAATGATAAATGACCCGCACTTGTATAGCATCTCTCAGAGTAAGGACTCCAAAGCGCTTTACACTACAGTGCATCATTCACCCATTCACACACACATCCACACACTCATGGTGATGAGCTACGATGTAGCCACAGCTGCCCTGGGGCACACTGACAGAGGCGAGGCTGCCGAGTACTGGCGCCACCGGTCCCTCTGACCACCACCAGCAGGCAAGGTGGGTTAAGTGTCTTGCCCAAGGACACAACAGCAGAATTCTCTGTCCGGAGCCGGGATTGAACCTGCAACCTTCCGATTACTGGACAACCCGCTCAACCTGTTGAGCTACTGCTATCCTGCTATTTCAGCTGTTAACTTTATTTTATTTAAAGTGTTTTTCTCCCCAGAGGAAGCTACAATGATGTTCTGCTGAGCTGTGGTGGCCTCATGGAGGGGGCCATCGGCTTGAACACTGTTGCTCACTACTTAAACATTCTCCCTCTCCTAATAATAACATTTTACTTTCTTTGACATTGAATGTGCTACTACTAGTTTACCCGTTTAATTATAGATCCACTAGGATAAATACAATAGTTTATCTCTCACCAAATATAATATTTACTAAGAAATCACAATGTAACCATAGAAACCCTACATGTTATACATGTTGTGTGTGTGTATGTGGATGTGTGTGTGTGCTCTGTCTTCTCGATCCCCAGTGAGTCGTGGTGGATGGCTGCTTATGCTGAGCCAGGATCCTCAGGAGGTTTCTTCCTGTTAAAAAGGGAGTTTTCCTCTCCACTGTCACTAAATGCTTGCTTAGTATGAGGATTGCTGTAAAGTCACTGACACTAGTCAGTGACTTGATGCAACCTGCTGGGTTCCTTATATAGGAAACTTTTTACTGATTGGCATAATGAACAGACCTGTATTGGAATGTTTACTATGTGAAGTGCCTTGAGACGACTCGTCGTGATTTGGCGCTATATAAATAAACTTGAATTGAGTGACGTGAGCTCTTCTGTTTGCTCCAGTTAGGAGCCTTGCTGCAGAGTTCTGGACCAACTGAAGTGTTCAAGGGCTTTTTGTTAAAACATGTGAAGAGTGTGTTACAGTAATCTAGATGGGAGGAGATAAAGGTATGGATGACCATTTCAAGTTCATGTTTTGACGCCAACCTTCATGGAGATATTTCTTAGGTGATAAAAACAGTTTTAGACCAATGTTTGAGAGTGGCCTTCAAGAGACATTGACTGGTCAAATGCCATGTTCTCATCCAGGTTGATACAGTCTTCTCGTGATCACAATACAGATGAATTTAAAACCACTTTCCGGTTATTTTACCTTGTTTTGTCTCTCCTTCTCCTTCTGCTCCTGGAACTTTTTCTCTGCCCAGCTGTACTTCCGCTCTAACCGGTACAGCTGCTTATCCAGGGAGCCCTGAAGAACAGGAAGAGTCTGTACCAGCCTTTATTGTAAACAATAAAACTAGTAGGCAGTACACAGCGATACTGCAGCTCTTTCCTCCACATAACACAAGGGTTTACCTTAAACTTCACACAAAGCAGCATTCTGCACATATGTTTTAGATCAGGGGTCGGCAACCCGCGGCTCTGGAGCCGCATCCGGCTCTTCCATCCATCTGATGCGGCTCCTTGTGCTTGTAAAATAGTGAATGGATATTTAAATAAAATGCTTTATATTTTACTGAATTAATTTTATATCTGTATGCCAATTCTAAATGTAAAGATTGTCTGCGTAAACCTGAACAGGTCCAACCCGGTTTTACTGTGAGATCGAGTTGACGAGTCACGCTTGTTTCTGAGCTGACGAGGATGTGAGATTCTGGGATTCTCCTCAGACGGCTCCTGGATGTGTCGCCACATTGGAGACAGGAACAAGCAGTATTCAGCCAAAGTTTCATAATCAGGGAACATTTTCTAAGTGACAAGTCTCGCTTCAGTCGGAGGAATATTCCCGCATGCGCTCTGGTTCTGCGACGCGCTCCAAGCCCCTCTCCACATCTTTAGCTCGCTGTGCACATATGCGCTGACAGCGAGCTGCGCTGAGCGATGTCCAGCTCAGATGTTCAGATGGGAATCTTTTCTTGAGCAATTTAGCTACATCTGCGATGTGCGTAACGAATAAAGTGTCAGTTCGTCTGCATGCGTCGGGGTAATACTTTCTATTCTTTCTCCGTGAAAACAAACGGTCAAATACGGGAACTATCCGGTCAACACAAGCCCTGCTTTTGACTGTTCTGTTTTCTTGTGAAAATTGTTGCAAAGAGATATAATTTAACTTGATTAACACCAGAGCCAGGCGCACTGCGCCGTTATCTCCGTCACTGTAAATGAGGGAAAAACAAAATGATCGGATCCTTTTCTGACCTTCCCCACCTACAAAGTTTAATTACAACGATCAAACGTGACAGAGCCTGGATTTGTATTCTGAACAGTCTAAACATGTTTTAAAAAGAAAAGTATGACAAAAGTGGCACCTGCTCAGTAAAACCACCAACAGGGTGTCGGCAGAGACGGGCTACAACTTCTGGATCCATTTTGTATAAATCGTTTTATTGATTATCTTCTTATGAAAGATAACTTTGACGTACACGAGCGACCGGTACTGGCTGCTGTCACCTGTTGTGATTGGTTAAAGCAGCTCTCTGGTGTCTGAGGGTGGGCCCCGCCCACAACGCCGCGGCTGCTGCGGTGTTTTCTTTACTGTGGGAAACGGGTAATAATGGCTCTTTGATGGGAACAGGTTGCCGACCCCTGGTTTAGACAATAAACATGAACTAGCTTACACATTCTAAGTGTAGATGGTGAAAAATTAACATGTTTAATTATTCTCTAGGTAAAATTACCTAGAGTTACCTCTTAAAAAAATTAGTTTTGTTTGATTCAATTTAATGAATTTTTACTGGTTTGTGGATCCCACAGTAAAGAACTGGAAGCCTCCTTGTTCAGGTGAATGAAAGAACAGGAAGTGGATTTAAAAGCCACGTAGAGGCCCTACAAAGCCACCTGAAACTGTTGTCTCTCTCTCTCGGTCTCTCTCTCTGTGTGTCTCACTCACTCACTCACTCACTCACTCACTCACTCACTCACTCACTCACTCACATCACAGTTTTTAGAGTTTTAAAACACAAATCATGTTTCTGTAGAAACATGATTTTTTTTCACAAATTTCAGATTGTAACATTTATGAATCAAAGGTGTGGTTGTGTTTTTTTCTGATTATAACCAGTCAGTTTTTCATGCAGGCTGAACATGAAAATAGTCTCCTACACCTACCTCCTGCATTAGCTTCTGATAAAAAAAAATAGACGATGAAACTCTAGGATGTGAAAATCTGACAGATCTGCGTCACACTGTCACTTAGCATTCATGAACTCACCCATCTTGGTTCGTGACAGGGAAGGCTGTTGTAGTTTTAGCGTACAGGAAAAAGCAGAGAACATCTCGGCTAGTAGGAGCTAACCGTTAGCATTAGCAACTCTACTACACAGCAGAACTCCTCCAAGCTTGTCTTATTTGTGGAAATTAAACATCAACGTTGCAGAGCAAACAGAATCAAAGGTAGAGTCATGTTGCTGTTAGCCAATCAGAGGTGAGATTTCTAAACATCAGGAAATAAGACTCTGAATCCTGTCATATGTAGCTGAACTCTGATATGGCGTTCTGCTAGTTAATGAAACAAGTGCATCTGAGGACCCCCCACAACCACCACCACCTGTACAACTTACAAGGCATTCAGTCCTAGTAGTCCACTGCAAATGTATTGATTAAACGAGTGGCCCACATCTTTAAAGGCATTCATGATATAATAATTGCTATATGGTAAAATGTTTTAATTTATTTTTACCATTCTATAAACCTAAGTTATCAACTTATTGTTGATTGTAGTGTTTCTGTCATAAAGAACATTGTTTTTTTCTGCTTCCTCATAACTAAGCAGAACATGGACGAATCCGGCAGTCTAGGATTCAACAACAGCTTCTGTTGTTGGTCTGAAGATGTAACCGTTGTAACGTGAAGGTTCCCAGAGAAAAGTGCGAGTCAGCACAAGGCAGGAAGTGTGTTTAAGAGGCTCATAGCTTATCAAAGTCTCGATCTGTTCCATTCAGAGGGTGAATTCTTATTTGGTGGTAAATTAAAACAGCTTCCTTCCTTTAAATGTACCTTGAAATCTTTCATGGTGTTTTTTAAGGTCTTGATTGTGTGTCCTGAGTGTCCTCCTTCTATGGTGCAGGCGTTGCAAACACATGTCTTGTCATCTATGCAGTAGTATCTGGTGATGCAGAGCACATGTGGACAGAGGTTAATCTGGATAGTCGGTGGTGTGTAGCAGAAAAACACAGCCATGTGGTTAAATTAGTACAGAATCAAGACAACAACAATAAATTGAACAGCCGGGGGGGGGTCAGGTACTTATTTAGCCCTGATAATTCTGCCTGCTTTTACTAAACACTGCTGTACAGAACTAAGAAACATCAAAACACTTACCTGACCATTAAAGAGAGCTGCTGGTGCTACATGAGCTGAGGAGCTGTTTAAACATCTGAGACAAGTGGCTCATCTGGACGTCACCAGAGTAAAACCAGCATCCTACCTGTAGATTTCATCGTGTTCCTGGCACTTCCTCTTCCAGAAGTCATTCATCGGGTCTGTGAGAGGATGCTCGCGGAATGCTGGCAATTCCAGATGTGGCTTCACGTGCTCCGGGCACATGGACACCTCACACTTCAGGCACGTCTTTACCGCCAATGCCGAGGCAGCTGCACCTTCTTCCTGAGGAGCAGAAGCATCAGAGGATCCTTCCTCGGAGATGGTGACCCCTGTTGCATCAGAGGACGCTGAAGGACAGTAGTCGCATTGGACTGCAAAGACAGTTGTGACTTGCGGGGCTGTCACAGAGGAGGTTAAAGCGGTGGCATCTGCGGTGGTGGCCCTACGCCTGCGGCGGTAGTCATCAGCAATGTTGGCCAGTTTAAAGTTTTTCTGGAAGTTAGTTCCACAGCGGTGGCCGATGCGACACTCCGGACAACGGAGGCGACCCCGATCCGCCCGCCGCTTCAGGCGATCAAGGCAGGTCTTGCAGAAGTTGTGTCCGCACGGAAGCAGGTGGGGGTCGCGATAGAGATCCAGGCACACTGGACAGGTGAGCTCCTCCTGCAAGACGATGCAATGCTCTGGAGGGGCCGAGGCCATGATTCTACTCAGAGGAGTGTAGTTCAGACCCATGGAGGTGGTGGAGACACGGGTGGGGACAGGAAAACAGATGGTGATAAAAGAGTGAATAAGTTCAATTTGTCTTGTGTAGTTAATAATTTAGGCAAATTGTAATGAATTTGCAATCAGAAGTTATCACATTTTAAATGTAATGTAATAAAAATTAAAGTACATACATTCTGAATTTAAAAATAACCCTTTTCAGAGTTTATTCCCTGTAAATTACCTTTTTTCTCAGAACCTTTAAATCCTAAAAATGAATTAAAGTAGATTTTGGTGGACAAAAAGAACTTGAAGTTATTTGGGGAAAAGGGGTTAAACATTTAAATTACCTTATAAAACTAGTAAAGATTTATGCTTTTTCCTTTTATATTTTCATCACAATGAAACTATATAACGCCCAATTCAACATCAAAGTACTGTTTCCTTTCAACTAAATATTTACAGCTTTGCTTGTCACAATATGATCCATTATTTTTGTCTGACAGGCTGCTTAATCGATAAATCTAGCACTAAAAATACTTCGTTTTATTTAAATTCTTGCTGAGTGGACGACAAACACGTGTAACAGAAACTTCACCCATAACCACTTTTATTCTCAATTCCTCCTTCGGTCAGACATGGACAAACAAAGGTCAACAAGACCGGTTGGAACTTATTGACACAATAACTTGTTCTAGCCGGCTGACTTTAATGTAAACACTCTGTTTTAAGGCTAACAACTTAAAGACAAGCTAATAACTATAAGGCTCTCTTTAAAGTTTCTAGTTGTGAAACGGGCAGCCCTGCAACTGTTATTTAACGCAAGAACCATTTATGACTTATTATTTTGGCTAAAACGGTCATTTTAAGGTATTAACTGATTATTATCAGTGTTGTGTATAAGTATGTTTCCCGTCTAACACCGTCCCCCCCCCCCCCCCCCCCCCCAGCTGTTATGCATGTATTTTTCTAAGTTGGCTAATGGATCATTTATTTTGACAAATGTTTAATGTGCGTATTTCCCAACGGAGGAAAGGAGAAACCATCTTTGTGTGGTGTTCAGACGTTAGAAGACGTTTCTTTGCTAGAATAGAAAAAAAATTAAATAGTTTAAGGTATTTCCCGCAAATTATTGTTAATTCAAACAAAATAGGTTGATGAAAAACTGAACTGAGCTAAGCAGTCGGGGAAACTCTTTTTGACGGGGTAACACATTTCAACGCAACACCTTCACCTGCTACTAATCTCCCCTCCTGGCAGCTGCTGCTGGGACGGCGATGATCTCAAACTAAAAGATTGACAAAACTGACAAAACCCCTGCTTCATACCTTAGTTGTGTTGGTACTTCAAAAGCGGCTTCGCAAAATAAAAAAGCTGGAACTATGGTTTCCAAAACCGTGGAGGTGAGGTAGAAGAGTCTCAAATCTCCCAGCCGCGTTGCACCTGTCGTACCGGGGCTATCATGCTACCACCGCGCGGTTGTTTCTCTTTCTTTCTCTCAGACAAAGTCCACCAACAGTCCAGTCTGGTCCAAATACAAACTAAATTCAAAGGACATTGGGTTCTTCCATCTGGAGTTTTCGGTATTCGACAGAAAAGGACAAACCCACCACACACCAGAGAGGGAGACAAACGGCCAACTGAAATGAAACAGGTAGCAGGAATCAGGATGCGGAAAATGAGGCATTCAAGGTCCCTCGGAAATCTTAGCTTACATGTCACATGTCTCTTTAGATGCCCCCGGAAAGTTTTTGGATGTGAATGTAACCGTTTAGTTATTATAGACACTATAAATTGTATTCAATGGATTGATAAATAATAATAATAAAAAAACATAGATCTAATAAACTGTCTTGTTTTTTAAAATTTTCAGATAATTTTCATTTAGTGACTTTTTATTTCCTCCTACAGAAGCAAAAGGAAACAGAAAAAAACTCAAACTAGTAGCAGACCTTTCTAATATGCTGCAGTGTTCTTTGTAAAAAATGTTTTGTAGGTCTTTTTTCCTCACTTACCAATATTTATTGGGTCTACTGATCACTGGGTTCCCAATTTGTTGTTTTCATGGTTGTCAAGGTGATGTGCAGCAGGAGTCACATGGGTGCAGGTGGTCACAATGAAAAGGAACTGTCAGTCAGTCACATGGTGGTTTGACAGAGATGGATGATTAGATGTAGTTTTTGTTGGCCACTATAGTCAAGCTGTAGCCGTTTTTTTTAAAAAAAAATTCTTCACTTTATGTTTAAGAACTTTGATCCACAGATCTGTCATTCAGGCCGGCAGCATCACCTAGGTCCTAGGAGTACACCGTTTAAATACATTTGCAAGACAAATTCTTGGAACTCCTTCACCTTGCTTGTGCTTTCTTCAAGAGGAAATGAAAAGCACGAGCAGGATAATCTGTGATCACATCACAATATGGCAACGTTGTTCAGTCTACACTGTGCCCCATTTTCCAACATGCTAACCATTATTTGGTTAAATTAAATTCAATAAAGGATTACATTTATACAGGACTTTCCTAGGCGATTAGAGTGCTTTCCATCATTCACGCACTCTCACATTCACACACTGCCAGTGATGGTAAGCTATGTAGCCACAGCTGCCCTAGGGCGGTTTGACAGAGGTGAGGCTGCCATTTGCCCCTCTGACCACCACCAAGACAGGCAAGTTAGGTTAAGCGTCTTGCCCATGGACGCAACAGCAACATAAAGTGTAGCTACAGTTTAATTCATCATCACCAGGGTGTAGACTAGTTGTGTTGTAATGTGCCTTGGGGGGGTTGAAGAACCATAGAAGGTGCTATATAAATACAGGCCTTTTACTACTTTACATAATTGCTAAGTGGAGTGAAACTGATGTATGTTTAAAATTTGAAGCAAAGAAAAAAATCTGAAGATTGGCGTACACTTGTATTCAGCCACCCTGCGTCAATACCAGCTCAGTGGCCTAGTGGTGCGAGTGTCTACCCTGGGACCGGGAGATCGGTGTTCAAATCCTGGTCAGGTGATACCAAAGGCTTTGAAAACAGTAAGTGCTACATGATTCCTGAGCACAGCTGTGTCTGCAGCTCACAGCTCGCCACGGGAATGGGTCAAATGCAGAGAAAAAATGTCACACTCACCAGTGTGTGACAACTAGTGGGACTTTAACTTTACTCTGTAGATCCATCTTTTTCTGCTGTTACAGCTGCAAGTCCTTTGGGTATGTCTATCAGCTTTGAACATCTAGATACTGAAATCTTTGCCCATCCTTTGCTGTGTGTGGTCCATCACAAAAACATTATAGTTTGTAATTGTAATGTGCCAAAACGTGGGCATGAATACCTTTGCAAATGACTATGAGTGTGTAACTTGTCTTTGGATTCTGCAACTTTTCTATCACCTCTGAAAAAAACTCCCAGGCAGCAACATTTGGTTAGCAAATATATTTTAATATATAATATTTATTTTTTAGCACAATGACAAAATGGCATAATTTCAGGTCAGTCTCTTAAATCATGACAAAAAGCCACATCTTTACCATCAAAACCCACCTTCAACTGTGTTATAATCACGGTAAAAATCCTCCTGAAGTACTTCTGTCTTCTTAAGAGGGAAAAATGATGAGAGGTTTCTAACAGCATAGAGCCTATGGCATCTGACAGAGCTATGGTGTACGCTAAAGGTGAAAAGACCAGGATGTAACCACACACCCTACTCCTTTGTTAGGCAATTTATAAATCACTTTACTGCCAAAAAAAATCAAAGTCAGTCGTGTGTACGATATCTAACAGTTACACATCTACAGGAACACATTTATTTAACAGCATTAAGTCTTACAAATAACATGGTGGACTCAACTAACTGCCAAACAAATACACCTGCCACTTGCTACACCATTTCAGAGCTATGTACTCCACAAAAAAAGACGTGCAGAAAATGATACGTCCAACCATTTGACTTGAATCAGTGAAACACGGAGCAGCTCCAAACTTGTTGGTTACATTTTCTTTAAAAGCCGCTAAGTTAAATCTCAGAGAAATGTTCTCTGTCTGCAAGAAACCTCCAGCCTACAAATGCCTTCATTTTAACTCAGCATGCTAGATGGCTTTTAACACACCCAAAACACACCAGAGGAATGTTTCTAGTTTTTAATTACACCTCCATTCATTGAGCAGCTAACACAGCTCCTTTACTTCTATAAACACTCTAAGACACACATGTAAAAGAAAATCATAGTTCTAGCCAAAGGCTATAAAGATTGTTCACTACAATCACCATGACATCAGTAAAATATCAAGCATATAATGACTTCTGAGTCCTCCTCAGCTGGAACCAAAAATCAGGCTTTTATGGTCAGTTTTAATGAAGCTAAACTTTATTTATCATAACTAAATTGCATTCAGCTGTGTGGAGGTATACGTAAAATATGGATAGAAGGCTTTAGTACCAGCAGGAATATTAACTATTTATTGTATTGGTTAATAAGATACTGCTGCATAATCAAGTGACAGTCCGGCTATCTTGTGCAAAGTTCAGAACATGTTTCTGTTTAACTATCCATCTTTAAGTACAGGCAAAGCACACACTAACTTTAAGGGTCATAGTTTGTTTACAAGTGTGTCTAAATCAGCTGCATTTAAAAACCACTGGCTTTTTGTTCAATTTTATGTAAGCTATCAGGCAAGTTTCAAACCACAGCTGTCAGCAGCCTTATTCACAAGTCATCAGAGCATAGACACATGGGGGTAAAGGGAATATTTCTTGTTTATTGATCATTTATTGGTGTCTCTGAATTAATTTCCAAACGTTGTGGTTTCTGCTTCATTTGTTAATGCACTCAGAATTAGTATGTTCGCAAAGCACATAGAGATTTTTTTGTGCGTTTTACAGTTGAATTGAGGCCATCCTAAATGTTTATGAAGCACGTTCTACACACACCTTCACATAGCCATGCTCCCATGACTTGTGAATTACTTCTGGAACAGTTGTGACTTGAACCTGGCTTGAAAAATGAAGGGTAACACTTATATTCAATTATTTTCTCAAAAAACCAACCTGCTGAAAAACTCCTCAACTACTCTTCACTACTTGCACTACTCTTTCCAGCATTTACAATGATGCGTTCTCACTGTTAGCTCATCCATTCACCCCTCAACTATTCATCAAACATACATTAGCAACAACTCCTGGCCTTAAGCAGCACATTGGGACAAAAATAGTTGTGTATAGTAAAAAATAAAGCCAATAATTTCTTAAGTAATCCCATAAGACATTAACTCGATAAGTATCAGTAGTAGGATTAAATTGTTTTCATATTCAATTGTTTTCTTAGCTAATGTTGGTTTAACTCATAAGCTAGCTAGCATGTTTAGTCGATACCAGTGTTTACCTTTACTTACTTTAAAATGACAAGACATTTTGTCATTAGTAAGGTTTTGTTGTATTTTAACATTTTTGGTTTAGAATTGTTAGCTTGGCTAATGAGGGGCTTGGTTAGTTAGCATTAGCTAGAATGTTTTTCCAGGGACTCCATTTGATTGAGCAGCTAACACAGCTCCTCATTTTCAGACTTTTCTTCTAAATTCCTGTTCATGGTAACAATAAACATGTGACAGCATGCCCCAAACAAACAAAATTAAAATACGTTTGACTGCTTTCTTCTTTTGTCATGATTTGGAAACTCTCTGAATAAAACGTGTTTTACAAGCAGTGACCACGACACATCAGATCAAATACAACACAGTTAAACGTAATATGTTACATATCAGTAAATACAAGTAAATGATGAATACCACTTTGTCTTTTCTTGAAAAACAAAACATCACCCAAAGCTGAAACAGCAAAAGATAAAAGAAGAATAGGACATGAAGAAGTAAAAATGTCGTGAACACGGTTTTCATCGCATTCTTTTGTTTCCAGTTAGTAAAACAAAATCCGGACATGTAAAAACAACAATATATAGTCATTAAATAAATTAATCAATTTAAAAACAAACACAAAACAGGTATCCAAAATACATATTTACAACCAAATAAAATGAAAACAAAAGTATTCATTTTTTTAAGGGAAATATTTGAATGAATGTTAGTGGCTTCTTCACTGCCCTCAAAACCACGTGTAATTACCTACTTATCTATTCTCACATTTTGGTTCTAATTATGTATTCCCCATAAATACATTAGGCTTAGAGTTTTGCAGCATTTACTGAGCTGATATGTACTTTGTACATGAAAATCCAAATCTGACATCATTTGTGACTGATATGTTGATATATTATGTGCCAACGGCTACAGCAAAAAAAAAAAAAAAAAAAAAAAAAAAAAAGAAAGAAAAAGAAAGAAGCTAAGCTACGTTAAAAACACCTTCAGTCTTGTGATGTAGTAGAGGGGCTGTGCTATTAATGCAGACACTGAATACGCTTTTAAAAATGTTTAAAGCTTTAATCAGCTGGATTTTTACCAAATGACTACTTTCAAGCTAACAAAAAACAGTCACAATGAAGCCCATTGCCTACAACAGTTCTGTCCTGAAGAGAACAAACATACATTGAGTTGTCACATACATTTACACACAAGCTGGTATTCAGAAACACTTAAAAAATAACGAAAGAAACAAAAAAACAAACAAAAATTAATAAATAAAAGCCCGAATCCACCGTTGGTCATATTTTGTACAACAGTAAAAACACATGCAGACCTGCAAAGAAAAATCTGCCATTTGGTTTTTGTTACATGACCTAAGCTCTTCACAGGCCAGTCGAATATTTAGGGAAATGCATTTTAACATGCAGTTTCCTTCATTTAGAAAAGGTACGTCCAGAAAAGGTGGAGAAAAACGACCCAGAAATGTTTTTGACACAGTTACACAGACAGCAAATCGGAACTTTCTACTAAGTGTGGTGTTGGTAAGGTTGTTAATGTCAAAGTTTCGATGTTATAGACCGTTCCTCTAGTTAAATTCGAGAAACATTCTAAATAAATTACATGTCTTATGGGTACATTTAAAAGTCGTCTCACTTGCTGAGGTTCTGTCTAAAATAATCCTAAAACTATGATTAACAAACAATAATGTGCCAACAAGGTTAACGCAAAACTACAGCAAACTCATTTAACTAGATCGCTTAAGAATGTTATTTTGATTGGCTATGGTGTCACCTAGTAGCAAAATGGTTATATTTAAGAACTTTGGGTTTTAATTTGAGCTAACGTTAGTTAATTTTAATTCATATTTATATCAGTTTGTGCAATTGTGAGATGAAGTAATAGACATTATGTGCCTTATAGACAATTCTAAAAATTCTGACTGACTATACAAACAATCCAACTAAAATTTGTATATTTTATCATTAAAAATGGAATTTATTTAATATTTCAGCAATTTTCAGTCAGATAAACCACTACATGTTTTTTTCCATTTGGACACAGCATGGCATAAGCCTAAACCAAAACTGGGTGCATAATGAAAATAAAAACACTCTGTATAACCGTGTCAAAGTATTTAAGGGTAATGCCTATTTATACATAGTTTAAAGTGGCCTTGCTTCTCTCCATGCTGTTTACAGAGACATGTCCAGTGTCTGCAAAACTCACTGCGACAGCTTTCTGCCAACATTTCCAATGGTGTTCTGTTCATTCCAGCTATCATTCAGCAAACAGATAGAGCAAATTTAATACAAGTATATCAGGATCTTCTGAAAACATTTTGGATATAATTCGATTAGTGGTTTGTGCAGATTTTTCCTACTGACATAAATGCATAGAATACAAATAAGTCCACTAAAACAAGAAAGAAAAATCACCAAGTCTGTGATGTAAATGTAAAGTCTTGGTCATTGGCACTGGGGTTAGGTGTGAAGCATACCGCGAAAGGAATACAAGCAGGAACAAGTTGGGGTTCGGGTGAAGAACGAGTCAAACACTGAAAGATCTCCGTCTGTTCTTAACTTACAGCTTTAAAGACAACTAAGACATTTCAGAAATACATCGTAGACATTCTGTACACACACCACACGGAAGTCCTTAGCAAATTTAAAAAGCAAAGCAGCATCACTCTCTTTAAAAGGTGAGAGCTGCCGTGATTGACTTGACGTGTGTGTTGGCGTTTTCACACACAACCTCTCACAGTTGTGAAGATTTTTCGGGGTAAACACAAACTCTGCTAAGGCTTTGTCGTGGGGAGAAAGGATACACAGTGTTCAAGAGAGCGGTTATTAATAGTTTAGTTTCAACAGTCTGCTAGCTTGTTAGTTGTGTCGGTACATGGCGGGGATGGCATAGTCAGGAAATGAGCCGCTGAGTGCATTAGAGCTCCTCATCACGATTATGTACAGTTTGTAAAGGAAAGAGTTTAATCACCAGATTAGCTTTGATCCTCTCTCCACCTTAAGATGTCTTTCGATACTCTGATCAGGATTTATTTTTTTTCTGTTCAACAAAAGAAACGACAAAAGAGCTGAAATACTCTTTTTAAACAACGCAGCATTAACAATAAATATATCCCTCTATTAAAAGCTCCCAAAATACACTTCGGCATTGTGCAGCCTGGAGACAATCCATCTATCTCCATCCATCTACCTCGCTAGTCAACAACAAATGTCCCTAACAAAGTAAACTACACAAAAGGAGAAGTATAATGGGCCCACCTAGTTGTAGGGGTGAATCTGCTTTAAGTACAGCATGCAGATCCATAACGTCCCGGCTGTTTTAACAGGACAGGTTAAAGAAAATAAAAATGTGTTCCTCCCAAAACAAGTGCAGTGCCACTGCAGGGAGATCATTTTGGATGTGGTCGGAAAACTGATAGATATACATGGGGGTAGGAAACTGACTAAACAAGTAGTTTAAAAAAATGTGTGCAAACGTAATTATTTATTCAAATTATTTTTATGAATTATCAATAATAAATAATAATGCAAATGTGCTTTTTTCCCACAGTTGTGTGCGTCCAACTAATCACCATCCTCCCAGAGAGATACCGACTAACTCTGTACTTGCCCACATTACGACACTGCACATGTGATAGAACTGCTGCTACAGCTAGCATTAGCTCAGTAGAGCATAAACTGTGGGTAATTAAATCATTCCTACCAAATCGTTTTGTTATATATTTATTTACATATCTACCCTTCTAAAATAAATGTTCTAAATAAAACTTTCTTCTAAATACCCTATGAGCTAAAGGCAAAAGTTGGCTTTTATTTTAATAAAATCAGCTTTAAATATATTTCTCTAAAATATTAGACCTTTCTTTTTGATCTAGAAACATGATAATGTGTCATGTCACATTAAAGGGAATGCACTTAGAGCTGCTAAAAACCATTTAATATTTAATGATTACATTTAGTAATTCAGATGCAACCATCGCAAAGTAATGTGTAATTTGATGAATGTTGCTTTGTTATTTAACAGCTACGCATTACTGGAGACCTGGCGAGTCAGAAATACCGGTGCCACTCTGATACAGCTAGCAGAAGATAGCTTAGCTTAGCATAGCATGATGACAAAAAAAGGACTGTAAAAACCTAGCGCTGCTCTCTCAGCAGTCTTGCATTAATGCTTACTCTTGGCTAATTGACAGACACAAGTTCAGCATTAGAACTATTCCTTTCACATCGCAAACACCCAGGGATATTTAGGCAGCTAGCTAGCTACACACTAAACAAGCACCTTTACAGAAATGAAGCAGCGACATACGTCAGACTTAAACCATTTTCACTGCCTATTAGCTGAAGCAGCATATTGCCTCTACAGTTTCTCTCATTTATTTACATCTGTTAATTTTAATCTATGCCCAGGTAGTGGTTCAATCATTTTCAGAACATGACATTTGATGTTTTGACCATTTTGCGCTATAAGGAGAATCCAAAAGCAGAAGTTTGAGGTACTAATGAATTACGTTAGATATCACTGCACATGTAATCCATTCGTGGATTAAAGGCTTCTGAGCAGGTCTATTTACGCTTTTTAAGATTTTCTCACTGGACAAAAATACATTTTCTGATGTTTTGCTTCGAGGCAGGATTGGTAACCTCTGCTTCCTCTTGGTTGGATGTCTTTATCTTCAACAATCTTTAACAACACACACACACACACACACACACACACACACACACACACACACACACACACACACACACACACACACACACACACACACACACACACACACAAATACCATGACAGAGTCCACTCAATCTAAGCTAACTCACTAAGCATCTGAATCTGTAGAGACTTTAGCTCTCTCCTCACATGCATACTTTGTTGGTCTGTCTTCTTGTAAAGTCTTTTCTGCAGTTTCTCAGTCCCCCTCAGCTAGGGAAGAAGCTGCGTCGCTACGATCTGATTGGTTGCTTTGAAGCCTGCGTGGTTCTGTGTTGCGGCAAGTGGTACCTGGGAGGCGGAGGGACGTAGGTGGACGTGTGTGAGGAAGGGATGTGTGTGAGGCTGAGGTGGGGGGGGGGGTAACAGGGTTGGTCATGGTTGACTTAAGGGCCAGGAGTGGAGAAATTAAGGTGCAAAAAGCAGGCCTGCAGGTGTTGACCTCACACCTTTTTAGGGGGAGGGGCCAACTTGATAATTTCATCCTCAGAAGGCTGGCGGATGATGTCTTTTAGTTCCAGGAGTGCAGCATGGGGGAGAGAAAAGAAAAGATATATTTGTTATAGAAATTCTTCAAATGTTTATGCAAAAATTTTTGCATTTTTGATCAAGTCATGACCAAACATTTCTAGTTTGACAAATGTTGTTTTTCATACAGTTTGCTGTTTAGTGTTTTCCTATTATCTTCTTGGATGTTCCTATGGTTGCTGAAGTCCGATTAAAAGTATTTCATAAGATTAAAAGCTTTTCTAGCTGTCAGTAAACTTTCAGGCCAAATCCTGACTGAAGGCAGACTAGTCTGATTACTGTTGTAATTAACAATTTGTATTGTAAGGTTTACTTTGTCAACATTCCATCAAATGGTGTTATTATGCAGCCTAAGCCCTGTCGTTATTGATTTAGCCTTCTGGTACAGTGTTCCATCATGTTTGATAAGTTATCGTTCATCACTAAACTGGAGGAGTTCCTCTGGGAGCATGTTTAGGTACCATTGTTTATTCATGAGCGCAATCGGAGGCTAGACCTTGAGTGAGATGATACTTTCTTAGTGAGAACAGGCTTCTTTACTGCCCTTCTAGATGGTCCTGGAGCTTGTTGGAGTTCTCAGACCACTTGAAGTAGAAATGTTCTACATGGGGATTTCATCTAATCACTCTTTGAGTTCATGCAGCCTGCCATCATAAAAGCTTAGTTACAAATAATATGTGTTATTCTCAAAATGTCTGGCCATGACTAAGAACTACAGACTTGTGTTAATTACATTTTCCACCACCAGATGTCAGAACGTCACTACATATGGAAGCTTTGCTTTCACTTCCAACTTTCTACATCCTTGACTCTTTATTTTTGTCTTTATAGAAATATGAAATAAACCACAATCAGACGCCACATGTGACCCAGATGCTTTAAATCTAACGTGCTGGTTGCTGTTTCAGCTCTTAGGCCTGACAACATGTCTTCCTGGAACTGGTTTATTACTCTGAAGCAAGATGTGTCAAAAGAAAGTGGATGCTTTTTAGCGTGCTACCTTTGTATTTCTTGGCAGAGGGAATGCGTGTAAGTTTGGTGTCGATCTCGTCATCCTCAGAGATCTTGAGAACAGTGGTGCGGTACTCTATCACCCTCGTCAGCAGGTCCGGTCGCCGTGAGATCTCAAAGATGTGCTCGATGTAGGACAGGTTATCTGCACAGGAAGCATCAGATTCAGTGTGACCTAAACAGCTTTGGAGTGATTTTGAGGATAATTTGGGGTACATTGCTGTGTAAAGGAATATAATAATAATAATAATAATAATAATAATAATAATAATAATTATATATATATATATATATATATGTATATATATATATATATATATATATATATATATATATATATATATATATATGTGTGTATATATATATATATATATATACACATATATATATATGTATATATATATAATCCAGAAAGATTTCAGACTGTCCTCTGATTTGATAAATTAGGTTAACATCCAATGACTGATGAGCTAGCAGCCAGTCTGAGCCCAGCTGACATTTTTACACAGAAACACTCTAGAAAGGCCACCTAAACCCCTCTAAGTCAATAATAAACAGGCCAACCTTCAACTAAAAGACTAATTTATTCTCTCTGACCTTGGGCGAGCTTGTCGTTCTTCTCCAGGTAGCTGAACCACTCCTTGGAGGAGGTGATGTTGTTGCTCTGGTCCTCTGGGATGTCCTCCTTGCAGGCCGATTTGAGCTGTTCCAGATCCTCGTTGGTAATGTTTTCAGAAAGGTCGCTGAGCAGAGAGCTGTACTCCGCCATGGTCTGGTCAAAACAGAGACAGCAGAACTGGTTAGATGGGACTGTAAGACGAAGACAGAAACGAAAACAAGAGACTGAAATTGTCCAAATGTTTGTTAGATTCCTCAGCGTGCCCCAGCCCACCTACTTCCAGACCTCTCAGTGGAAATCAGTCTTTGTTAATGACAATAACACACCATCAGGATGGGACGGAAAAGCCAGAAAAATCACATTCATGCTTTAGTAAAATAGATAAAGACAGACATAGATGACAAACAATGTCCCAAACCCATGACCTATTGATCTGTCCCTAGGGGACCAAAAGCTATCTCCAGGGACGGATCAATGCTTTTACTCACAGAGGGATGGATGTATAGATTTCTTCTTTAACAAAACAATTATTATGTAATTTTACTTAATTATTTATTATATTGGATATACACAGCGCTCCAGCTTCACTCACATAAAATTAACAATGATGAAAGGCACTATTCTTGTTGAAATAAAAAAAGTATATTAATGAGTTTCTGGATTTAGATTATTTCTTGAATTCATCCAATCATCTGATTTTAGCAAGTAGTAAAGAAAACACAAATCAGCCAATTAATGTAAAGTGTATTTTTCCTTTTATTAAGTCAATTATTGAATTATGCTGCTCTCTGCTTCCCTCTAGTGGTGAAATGCTGCAAAGACAACAGGTAGTAGAGCTATCCACTAAATTATGACTACATTCTATAAATCAGTTTTATTACATTTGCAGAAGTGCAGACTTGTTTTTGCTTTTATAATATCACACAACTCCTATCCTACCTTAATAACATATTCTAACATATTCCTACTTAACATTAAATAAAGAAAGCATCGTCACATTTTTACTCAAGAGTGACCCTCATCAGTCTGACAAGGTTTCAGTCATGAAGAATTCATCTAACTGTGGCGACTAGAGTAAATAGATACAACAGTAAATGTTTGCCGGCGTGTGTTTTAGCTAATTATCTCATGAGCCCGTGGATGGCTTTTCAGATGTTTATCTATAGCTGATTCAATATGGCCGCTACAACCAATCAACTGAAGAAATACACAAATGGTTAAAACTCCACCAATTTTACTGACATTAAAGCTTCTTTCCGGAGTGTTCCTCTTATCCAATGACACCATCTAGTGGCTGACAAGCATATCACACAAAACCACAGTTCCTCTGTTTTTTTAAGATGGCGACTTCACGTTTCTGTTTATAAATGTGCTTCTGTAGCCGACAAGCAGAGCTAAAACACGTTGTTTTACGAGTATTATTCTCATGTCATGCTGTGTTCACATATATTTATATTTTAGAGACTTTCTTGTCCGTGAAAAGTTCATCAACTCTGAATCAGCCGAGGTACTTCCTTAAATGTGAAGCGTCCTTCTCAGCCCTAATCCTGAGCAACTTTTAACCAAAAAAACTAAATAGTTTTAATATCTTGTTGTTCAAAGTAGTTTCAAATCAATTTTCTGCAAACATGCTCAAATTAAACTGAAATACAGTATCTAGCACTGCTTTTACTTAAATTTTAGATTTATTTATTTTTCCTTATTTGAGTCAACAACTGGCCTCTTGACTAATCATAACAGTCAAAATAAACAGTTTCATAACAGCCAGAAGACACTTAGCTGCTTATTTGTTATCTAAATAGAGTTTTCAGAGCAAGACCTGAGATGGGAACACTGGTAGGGTCAGGATCAGGCCAGGACTGGAGTAAAGAACCACTAGGTGTTCATAAAGGGTTCAGGTTGTCCTTAAAGTGCAAGTCACCCCCAAATAGGGTTGTCACGGTAACCGGTATAGCGGTAAACCCCGGTAAAAAGGTTGACAATAAAAATAACCGTCCAGTTTTTAAAAAACTAAATTATCTCGGTGGGTTTACCGTGGCCGCGGTTTCGGCGCGGTGACCCTTACCAGCCACCGTCGCTTCAGCTGAAGTTCCCGCGGCGCGCACTTTTTAGTTTGCAACGGCACCAAAACTTTGAAGCTGAAATAATGGCCGAAGGAGGAGACGGCAGCGCCCAGGACATCCATCAGCCCTCAAAGAAGACTAAATCGGAAGTATGGGCATATTTTGGATTTCTGAAAAACGCTGAGGGACAGTTAATAGAAGACTGCTATCCCGTTTGCAGAACGTGCAGGAAACAAGTGTCTGCAAAAGGCAGCAACACTTCGAATCTAATGGCACATCTGCGTGACCATCACCCACGTCTCTACAGCCAGTGCAAGGTAAGTTAACATTAGCATTTTAGCTTAAATGCATGACGTGAGGACTTTTGATTGAGGGAGAATACAACGAGTCACTATATACTGCAGCCGCAGCGTCCTCTGCCAGCATTTAAAGCGTGTCACGGACACCCTGTTGCTGGATGAAGCATCTTATTTGTTGATGATGAAGAGAAATATACAATTAGTTCCTTGTCATTGATTTGTTTACTTATTCAATGCCATTTATACTTGAACATTTGGATTTGATTACATAGTGTAGTAGTTATTTTAGTAATTTGTTTAAAGTGGCTATTTATTTTAAATACATATTTTTTAAGGTTGACTTGTACAGTGCTCAAGTCAAGTGTGGACTGGAGTTTTAGATTTTCATTTTGATAATGAAGAAAACAAGTATATGAGAAAACAAGTGGTGTTTCTTTGATTTGTTTACATATTGTTTATGTTTCGAATGTTTGGATTTGTATCATTTAAACCTGCACTGACTACTGTAACATGTTCCAGAAAAAGAAGCTATTTGTTCCTTTACTTGTGAAAAGTTGCACTTTTGCTAAGGCTTTGTGTTATTTTAGGTTTAATAAACACTGTTAAACCTTTTCAGAACTATTTCAGTTTGTGTAGAACAGGACTATCAATGCTTTCTGAGCATATGCAACACCGTTTAAAAAATACCGCGATAATACCGAAAACCGTGATAATTTTGGTCACAATAACCGTGAGGTTAAATTTTCATACCGTGACAACCCTACCCCCAAATCAACATTTTTTCCTGATAAACTATATAAATGCGTCTCTAATCGTGCTGCAGACACATGTAGTCAATAGTTTTGCACTTTAGTGCATTTTAGTTAAAATTAAAATTTTCTGCCTAAAACTGTCAGTGTTGTGCCGTTGTCAGGTAAAAACTCAGCACGGCATTTGAATTTAAATCTGCCATTGCTATTGGCTAAGAGGTACCCTAGAACGTTAGCTGTTACCATAAGATGTCACAATGTTGTTGTGAGCCTGTGTGTGTGTTTATTTGTTAGTGGCTCCGCCCTCTCGGTCTGCTAGGCAACAGCAATTGTTGCATTTTTCAAACAGGAAGTGGGAGTGGACTTAGACTCTGGTAGGAGGTGACTTGCTCTTTAATCATGCGTCTAGGACACTTTTCAGTGTATGTGCTGAAGTTTGCATCAAATTTCTCCTGAGAAACTGACAGCGATGAAAAACAAAAATAAACACCAGTAAAACCCCACTGTTGATTCAGACGCAATGCCATCTGCTCAGCTCAGCTGTGTCACTTCAGATGGAGCAGAGAAAACACCTCATGAGACAAATAACAGCTCAGTTTGCAGCTTATTATCATATTTGGACCAAAGTATTCACACAAACTTTCATGTGCAGATGAGGTGTTGATGTGAGCTGCCTCATTGGGCATTCCTCCAGCTTTGATGAATTTAATGAGGGACTGATGAGCTGAAGTTCACCCAAAACAGCTGGACTTTAGCTCCAGGGATGACTTTGCAGCAGGACCACACCCCTCCATCTCTGTCGATCACAACCATCAGCCTCCAAACTAACTCCCTGGCATCCAAGCAGCTGACGAGCGGCTGCCCTCTATGCAGTCAGTGCATTATGGGTATTGGCGTGAAGCTCTGTCTGCCTCTGATCCGCTCAGTCTTGTCACAGATAAACGATATTCAGAAAGCCCAGAACAGCTCTGACCTAAATAACAGCTGCTGTTACCTGCTGCCACCACCAGAGGGCCCCACATCACTGCAGCATCTTTAAGGTTAAATGGAATCTTTATTTTAACATTTAGCTACTTGATGAGGTCATTAAATACAAAAACGATTAGGTTTTGAACTCCTTCATGTGTCGTGGGCTAACAGGTGCATTAACAACGACGAGGGACAGCTAGGTGGTGTGTGGGGCTGAGAAGTCCAGGTGAGCTGGCTGAGATCTGTTCTTTAAAGAAAGATGGTGGCTGATCCGTGGCTGCCTCTAGGGGAGAGAGCCTAGTGGTGATGGAGCACTTTCACTGTGTGAGTTTGTGCTGTTTCAGCTTGTCACATTCATCTCATGGAAGTTGTGCTTAGATGGTGCTTGGGACAGGGTGGTGTTATTCACCTTAAGACAACAGGGGGTTGTGTGTGTGTGTGTGTGTTTTGGTCCCAAGCCCTCCTCTCTCCACCCAGGTCGCTCTGACTGCTCCCAGCTTTGCACCACAAAGGACTGCCACAGCTTTTGTGTACTTTTAAAGGGGGAGAGAGGGAAGGACAACAATGGATGGAGTAGCTACATCTAGTGTTTTCATCTTCCTGCTGCTTCAATTCTTTTGCCAACATGAAACAAAGACACTTATTTTAGTATCCTGTAAACAAGAAACATAATTGCTTGTTTTTCTGATTATCATCTGTTTTATTGGAATCTGTTATGAATACCAGTTAGAATCTTTTCTCCTAAAAAAATTCAGTTATTTCAATATTGGATGTTCTAATCATGTTTAGAGTCTTAAAATATCAGTTCCACTTTGATTGAAATGTGCTTCTGTGGTGGAGAACAACCTCAGTGCAAAGAAAAAGAGATACATTTTATCCAGATAGATGTGCTAATGGCTAGTCTGAGTGGGTGATATTTTAAAATTTTAATCTAAAAAAGAATCAAAGCAAGTTGCAAAACTAGCTTTTTTAGAAGGATTTAAATTCCCATAAATGTCCCATTCAATAGTTATAAACAGATCTACAATTATTTGAAATGGAAATTAGCGGCTGAGCTAGCTAGTGTAGCATTT